TGTATTATGAAACAATTTTGGAGTGAGTGATCACAGAACTTGTCATTTCCCCAGGGGCCATTTTCTTTTCAGAGCCCATGTTGGAAAGTACATTGCACAAGCGTGAATCTGACAATCCTTTAACCTGGTTGCAAGAGAGCACTTTTGTGACACCTTTTTCTATGTTTGTTAAGGAATTTGAACATTGGGATTGTATTTTGCCGAGGTTTTCTCATGCTAAGTTACAAGTGTGTTTGTTCTATAAGCACCTCTTTGATACCTCTGGGTTTGGGAAGAAGTTTCTTGTATGGAGCTCCTTTGACCATTTGCTGTTTGTGAATTCAGTTGAAAATGTGTTCTCAGACTGCAGTACCTTGATATTGCTTTTGGAGCATCTAACAATTCTAATAACATTATGTTGTGTTTAATCTGATTGACAAGTTTTTTTCTGCTCTCTCCCATTCAAATTTACTTTTAGAACAGTTTGAAAATACTTGAGCTGTGTGAACATTGACAATCAATGTTAAAGCTCAGCAGTGTCTCTCACACAGCCTCTCTGTGCAAGGTGTTGGAAAGAAGGCTCTGTGTCTGTGGCTCTTGTTAGAAACACAGCAAACAGGCAGTTGTAAGTGATGATTCTCACATGACTCCTAGATGGAATAAGACTGCTAATTTTGTCTTTACAGATTTAGACATAAGTACAGGTTTGCAGGTGATGAGTACATAGGACTGTTCTTTTTCTAGCCCTTTCCACTGCCTACAAGACTTGACCTGTATTAACCATGGAGTCAAGCCAGAATTGTGTGTTGAGAACTTGCTCATTAACAGCTGAGTTTCTGTTTCTCTGTCAAAGGTGCTCCAGGCTGAGTGGTGTTAGCACAGGACATTTGGAGTCTGGAGTGTTTGGGCACACCTACTGCTGCCAATGATATTGAAATTACAAATAAGATTTCCACCAGTTTGGAATGAGATTTCATTTTTAAATTAAAGGGACAGAAAGACAGAGTAGCAGACCCCAGGAACTGATTGAAGATTACAGAGGGTCTCCAGAAACAGGTTTCCTAGGTAGACCTAGGCTGAAGGAGATTATTAAAGACGTGTTATGCAAGGTATTTTTCACAAATACTTCAAACCAGTGTAGGTGTGTTGGGATCATCCAGCTGTTGTCACCAGTGCATGTTTTGTCACCTGTGCATACCTTATTGCACTGTGCGCCTAATTGCAACTGATCAGTTGTGCTAATGATACTCCTCTGGATTTCTGTCTTCCTTTGTGGACAAATTTAACTTCAAGATCAGAGTTTAAAACTGAAGGATGTTTATTTACACTGGGATTGAAACCAGGCATGGAGATAGGAAGCGTTTCTTGGATCCAAGGTGAATTTGTTGTTAGTGAGTTAAAGTTCTTAAGTTAGCAAATGCTGGGGTGTTTTTTGTGTGGTCTTCAAGGTCAGTAGTTTGCATTCCAGCAGGTGCTTCCAAGGTGGAATTATGCAAAGAAGAGGAAGGAAATATTTTCTTTCAAAACTGGAGAGGCTGCTGTATTGATTAGTTGTTTTCACAGTGTCTTTGCAAAAGCTTCAGAAATGCAGGAAGCATTTTATTTCTGGTTATAAAAGATGGATCTGCACATTATAAGACGTGCTTTAGAAGTAAAAACTGGAAAAGAAATAAGATGTAGTGTTATGATAGAGATGAAGAATGTTGGGCTTTTCTTCTTTTGATTGCCACTTTTCTGTAATACTGTATTTGACTAATTGTGGATTTTCTTAATATATTTTGCTACAACTCAGAAGATATTCTTGTTTCATTGATGTCCTACTTCCAGCTACGTGTTCAATGCTGGTGCTTTACTTGAAACCTTTCAAGTTTAATATTTGTTCTGTCTGGTCTAAGTGCTAAATTAATGTTTTTATATCTCATCTTTGTGATCTTTAAATTCACCTGAGCACAGAGTGTAAAAGAGGAAAATAAAGACCAAACAAACAAAATCCAAGCAAACCAGTCCAGTCTGCATAGTATGGATACCTCTATCTGAGAAACTTTTGTGAGGTGGATACAACAATAATTAGAGATGTGTCAGCTTAAGAATGGCCTCTCATCATGTTTTCAGGATGTTTTTTGACAAAATTTATTTTTAAAATAAATTTTTTTTCCAAGCTGTGCTGTAAAATTTCAACAGAATTTTCTCTTATCTTGAACTTTATTTTTTTGACTACTGGATTCTTAGAATTGAAGAGAAATTGCAACTGAAAACATGATCCTGTAAGAGAAATTATGGAAATGGACATTTGTCTTCTGGTTAAAGCAATTGAGGAAACTCTGGCCTTCCAATATGGAATATAAATCATAGTATTTTCAGTTTGCAGGGACAAAGTTTGATACTGTTTGATGCATACTTGCATTTATTTCTTCTTTGATTATACTGGATATTTTAATCAAGTCTTAAGCTTGTAATTTATCTACAACACCTTCATGTGGAAGGTGATGGCTTGTGTCTAACTGTGTGCCAGTTCTGTCCCTCCTGTCCTATGGATTGGTTATCCCTCAAAGCTCCAAGGGTGTTTTCATCCATGTCCTGCCCTACTCTGAGCATTACCTACCCACACTATCAAACTGAGTTATTGGTATAACAAGATGAATGTTTGCAGTATAAGTAGAATCAAACATTTTATATTCTCCTCTGCTCCATAGCATAATTTAAAGTGAGAATATCCTTGTTCTTGTCCCTTTCTCAAACAGAGGAAGGTGGTTCTTTGTCTTGTGTGTTATTGAAAGACTTCTAAAATCACTTCAGACTGAAACTTTTGTAGAAATGTATTTAAAATGTTAGGGCTTAATTTACATTTTATATTCAAAAAACATACATCTCTGCAACTTAATTAAATTTTAGCTTTAATTTAATTAAATTTTAGAAAATCCTTCAATATTCCCATGGTTTATAATTTGCAAATTTAACTTTCTTCCATTTAAGTTTAGAAAGAAACTGTAGTCCAACAGCATTTTAATTTGTTCATGCAAGCCAAGATTCAAGATGATAACATGTTTTAATTGTTCTTGAATGATGAAGAAAGAAAACCACCTTCAGAAGCTGGTGCTGATTTCAGACAGACGGATTCAGTAGTTGCTATGTTGATTTCTCTGTTCAGTGGGAATTCCCTTTCCCATCTCTTTGGATGTGAACTTACTGGATTTCGATCACCTAGGCTACTTCACATCCTAAATTCTCTGTCCTGGAGAAGAGAGCTGCCATGAGGATTTGGGAGGGGTTTGGTGGTGAGGTAAAGTAATTCATGAGGCAGATGGGATGTAGGAAGCCACTAAAAGTTTGGCTTTATCACTTGGAGATATTTGGGGAAGTCTGATATTTTCATCACTCCTCCTCCCCTTATAACCCTCCTTTCCATCTCCCAACTTGCTGATGAAATAAGGGAAGGACCCAGAAATGCAACTGCACAGCTATAGATGTACACACACCCCAAAGGGAGGTATGGGCTGGCAGGCTGAGAAAGCCTTTCTTATGGTGCTGGTAAAGTATGACAGGACTTCTGGGCTAGGGCCAGTTCCAGACTGGAAAATGAATAAGGGGTTTAGTAACAGGCAAATGATCTGGTTTTTGAATATTAGCTCAGGAGATCTCATCAAGCAATTTTACAAAATCTACTTGCCTAAATAAGCTGGTTTGGATTTCTGCAAACCCAAGTAGTAGGTGTGCCTGAGGCCCCTTGGTGCTCTCAGCATCTTTGTGGTTCCTGCAGAAATGTATTTTATAGCATGTTCATAAGCTGCATTTCTGAAACATCAGACCAGTGCAAATTTCATTTATTGTGGGATTGCCAAGCAGCTGTCAGGGAGACAGACTGAGAGGATGTTTGTGGCTGTACCTGCAATACTTTATAGGTATAATATAGAATCCTGTGATGGAAATGATTCAAGTAATTAACGTGCCAGATGAGGACCTCTCTGTATTTCAGTGTTCACAGTGAACACTGTGGTTCTCTCAAATGAAATAGCCAGCTCCTCAGAGCTGTATGGGCTAAGGGGCATTGTTTTTATTGCACTGTGAGCTTTGATTCCACGGGTTGGAAAAGTGGATTGCCTGCAGTGTGCCTGAGCTGGGGGTACCATATCATGGCAAGGCAGCTGTGGTTCTGGTGGGGATCTGGCAGCCCAGCTCTCCATGCAGCAGTTCTTGCTGCTGCCTCTTGGCACTCGTGCTCCTCTCCCTCTGTGCCCTCGCAGCCCTGCCAGGGAGCTGCCACTGCTGGCCTGGCCCCTGGCAGGAAGGCAGGGCTGCAGGGTCACCATGGCAACTCGGAGATTTCTCCTGGAGTGGATAATGGACAGTAAATTATTACTTTTTTCCCCACTCTATACTCTGTGTCAGAACTCTAGATGCAAATAGTCATTGCTTGTTTAAATATTAAAAGGTCATTATTCTACTGAAGGTTTTGGAAATACATGGATTAAAGGCGCTTAAAGAACGTTTTTGAAAACCTGTAATTTACTCAAATTTACCTAATTCTGTAAGCCTGGGATTTATTAGCCATTGTGTTAATCAACTCTCCAGTGTTGTGTTTTGTGTTAAGTAAAGATTAAAATATTACTTGTGAACTCATGACTCTTCCTAAAGTCTTGCTGACAGCGCAAGAGTTTAAAACTAGTTCAGGAAATTAAATACGTTTTTATGGTGGACTTGTAGTGGTGGATTGGTATGAAAGGTAATTTTTTTCCCAACTGAACACAGGGATTAAATTACTAAGGAATTACTCTTTTCAGTATGTCAGTAAAATTTCAAATTCTCTCCATATTATGGATCAAGATGAAAGTACATTAGCAAAGGCAATCTTCAAACAAAAGACATAGATTATTAGGTTAAGGATTTTGAATAGGTGTAGTTTATCTCATGTATTTTTTCACATTTAGAAAAGGTGTAAATTATTCATAGCTGATTATTTCATATAAACAGGGTTTCTGATTTTGCAGATACAAAGCTGACAGGCTTTTTTTTCTCTTTGACAGATGGAGATGGACAAAGTGAACATTTACTACCAATCTGTGAAGATGAAACATGTCAAAGAAGTGCCATCTACCTAACCAAGCTGGGACTGGACCAGGTAATGTGAATTTGGAATAGCTAAGACAAAGTACTGTGTTGTAAAATTACATGAAATAGAAATTTTTTAGGAAATAAATGAAATCTCCTCACCTGTCATAATAGAATACAAGAGACTTGTATTTTTTTACTTGTGTGTTCCCTATCTGAAAAAATAAGGGTTTGGTGAAAGAGGTTCCTAGAATTTTTTATAATGGATAATTCTACTCAAAGAAATGATGAATGCTCCTGAAGAGTCACTTTCTTGATTGCAGAACACTGCATTTGAAGCATCATAACTGTTCCAGCATGAGGTGAAAAACAAGGTTTATGTGAAGAGCTGGAAACAAATCTAATTCAAATGAGCTTGTTTAGTTTAACTTAGGGAGCTATTTTAGAGTAAAAAATATATATGCATGCACATATATCAGCCCACACTTCTTACCCCTAATTTCTACTTTGTCTTTGCTTCTTATTAATGAAGTAAATTTCCAGGTGGTATAGAGCACTTTTTTGGGCTGTGTGTCTTCAGGGCTGGGTGCCTGTTAAATTGTTGGAGGGTTGTTTGTTCATGACACTGCTGGCTTTCCAAGACATGGTTATATTTCATGGAATAGATTATTAAATGTTCATTTATTTAAGTATGTGATCATCTGGTTTAAGTATTTACAGTGCCCTGATTTATAATAAAGTTGCAGCATACACTAAATTAACTAGATGTTTGTTGGATGGCTTAATAAATATTTTACTAAGTTCATATTTTGCAATGTGAACCTAAAGGCCAAGGTGACATATAAAGTGCTTGTAGCTGACAGCAAAATCCACTGTAGGGTACTCAGAGAGAATTACAATGTGTGCCATACATGTTGCTAACAATGTTATGAATTACTGATTATTCCCTCACTGAAAAATTTTCAGTTGAATTTTGTGCTAGAAGTAGTACCCTCTCTGATCTAAAATTCAGAATTTATAGCTGAACTTGTTACAGTCTGTAGCCCAAGTTTAGAGTGTAGATTTTCTCATTTAAAGAATCAAAATTTATAGAACACAGGCTGTAGCCTACTAGTGAGGAAAATCACTCTGTGTAGGAAAGGAAAGCACATAGCTCCCAGTCAGTGCAGGGGGGATGACTGGGATGGAACATGACATCAGAGTATGAAAGAATAACTCTAATTTTGGTAATTTGTATCTTTTAACCTTCTGAGCCTGGCAGCTCTGTTCTCAGAAGTCTTGTTGTGCTGTGCCTGCTGTTTGGTTGGTTGTGGGTTGTTGGTTTCTTGTTTTGGATTTATTTTTTTTACATTCATTCGTGCCCTCTACACACAGAACACGGCCAATGGATTGGAGCATTGCTGGATGCTGGGGTACAGCAGAGTTTGAGTTAAGGGTCAGAGCCTTTGCACAAAGCAGGTGGATGCTCAGTTTGTGATCCTCGCGTTGCTTCTGCTCTGGGAGAACCAGGCTGTGGCCACGGGCTGGAGCAGGGGAGTGGCCGGGCTGCTCCTTGCCAAAGGACAGCTGCACTTGAGCCCTCAGTTTGCTTCCTTGTCTGGATAATGTAAGAATTAAAAGGAATTTGAGTTTTGCTCCTCAAGTAAATTTGAGACAAACATTCTAAATTAAAGTAATTTCACTGTAGAAAGTGAGCCCCACAGAAACAGCTGGAACCACTGAGAGTAGTGGGGTCTGAGGATCCTGTTGGTCAGGATATGTTCCCAAAAGGAAGTGGTGCAGTAGTGGCAGAGGAAGGTGTGGGGCAGTTTGCATAACATGAGAATGTTTCAAGATAGAGTCTGTGACAGTGACCTGCTCTGATCTAACATTGCATGCAGCCAGTTTTTATCGTGCTTCATAAGTTCATTTTTTTGACAGGAGTAAACTACTTAGTTACAAATACATCAGTTGTTTAACCTATATTTAATTTGTTTACTCAATTTAGCAATTTCATTTGTAGTTTCAATTTGAAAAAAATTCCAAGTGATAATGACTTTTGAGATAAAAATTAGCAGTTAAATATTGCCCCTTTATTTTAAACAGCAAAGAATCCAAAAGATTCTCACCCTGCTAGAAAAAAAGTATTAAGAAGTATTTGGATTTACCTAGAAACGTTAAAGCAATTTTCCCTGCCTATTTTTAGAATGACTTTAATTAAAAATGACAGTATCAACTGGCATGAAATAATGACTTACTCTGGTCTAACCTTTTAAAGATTTCTATCTGGAATATTCTTTTCTTGAACTCATCTGGAGGTGATGCAGCTTTTTCCTTTTGGAACTTTTTCTCTTTTCTGTTCTGAAACAGTGAAAAGTATCATGTCTTCATTCTGCACCTTTTCCCATGTGTTGCATGCTTCCTTCAGGTAGAAATCTATTCAAATATGCCAGTTCTTATACTTATTTGGAAGTAAAATGTTTCATATCACTGAATTTTGTCACTGTGAGGTCAGAGGATAAGATTTGACTAAATCAGTTACTCTTCATGAGAAATGATAAACATAAACTTTGTGGAAACAGACTGGAATAGATTCTGGTTAGCAATCACTTTACAGGTTGAGGGAAATAATCAGGAGCCCTTGAAGTGGGCAGAATGTGTTTCAACAAGGGGATGGTATCCCTTGTGGAACTAGTAGGGAATCTCTGGGAAACTGAGAAATTGCAAGACTATTATTGAAAAAATAGAAGACTCTGTATCTCCATTGTCTTTTTGTTGGGTTTTGTGGCTTACTTTTTCAGTTAAAGGTGTAGTAACAAATTCTTGTTTTCAGAATTTCTCTTTTTTTTTTTTTTTTTTAATAAGAAACTGATCTCAAATCTGAAAGACATCAAATGAGACTACAATCTTATTTAAAAAATACTTGGCCTACTGGGCCTGGTTTTCCTGCTTGTTTGCTGTAGCATTTGATAAAACCAAATGAGAAACAGTTACTGCATTCCATGATAGTGTGTGATGCTTGGGATGAAATGCATAAAAGTCAGAAATACACACCTGTACAATTAGTGGCTCTAAAACTTACACTGAGGAGAGGCAGGCTTTGGGGTTGTTCCAGTAAGATCCTGTCTGTCAGGATATTTCTCGTGTCTTTGGCCCAACTGGATGGCTACTGGAAAGCCAGGCCAAGCTAGGAGAATTATTTCAAGGATAACCCTTCATCATAGGTTTTAATTTATGTGATGCTGGTTGAGGGGGTTAAGTGGTAGGAATATCTCAGATTTTTTTTTCTTTCAGATGGTGGAGCAGAAGTAAAGGCCAGCAAAATACACAAGAGTGGCTTAAGGAGATACAGACCTCCTAAGGTTTTTAAAGGAATATGAATGTTTCCATAGCAACAGCAGAGTTGCTGTCAGATCCAAGTGGAATCCTATATGCTGTTTCAGATTGTGGCAGGTGTTAGGACACCTCAGACTTCTTTAAATTCACCTGCAATGGTTACAGTCTAATCTGGGAAATGTTTTGATGTCCTTGGTACTGTTTAATGTAGGAACTCTAGATACTGTGATATTCTTAGAGATGACTAATTCTTCTTTAATTTTGCCAAGTATTCAGTATGATTTTTCATTTGTTTCCTGAGGCAAACACTATTATTTCAGTCCCTTCATCTGCGAGTTTCTTTGTGGGCTTGATGATTCTTATAACCTTCTTCTGTACAATAGAAAGGTTATAGCTTTATTCCTCTTGGAAATGGAGTAGGTCTGAAGTAGAACACAGCAGTGCATCCTGCAGCAAACCCCAGGTCTTCATGGTGTCATTCTCCAGGCTAGAGAGGGAAGTGACAGCATTGATTATCAGCTGCAGTCAGTCAATGTCAGAAGTTTTTCCTCATTCCTGTGTAACAGTTTAAAGGGGGAAATGGATTCAGCTGCTGTAGTTTTTATAAATGTCATATTCTGCAAGATCCTCTCATCACTTCTAAGTTGCTTCTCTTTCTGAAAGCAGCTGGGGGCTGTAAGCATTGAAAACATGACTTTTACTGCTTTGGTTCCTTTTTTCTGTGATTCTAAAGCAGTGCTGTGGATTGTCACCTTCTGGGCTTTGAACACCATAAGTTAATGGTGTAAAGCACAGTAATTTCCTCAGCTGTTAAGGGATTCAGGTGACCCTCGCAAGCACTGAAAGCCTAATGCATGCTGAAATCCTGAGTTATTTGTTGTGTGCAGCTGAACTGCAGTGCACTGAGAGAGGGAGCCCCAGGGAAAGCACCTGTGGTACTTCTGGTGCTGGGGCAGCTCTTTAGGCCTCTGCTGATGCTCATCTTTGGCATTCCCAGAAAATATATTGGCCAGGAAAGGGCTACTAATTTCCCACCTTTGTGACTCACAGCTGGCTCCCTGCCCTGCCTGTGTTCTGTGGCCTGGAAGCAGCAGCTGGCTGGGGGTAGGTTTTGTGCTTCCTGGGTTTCTGGCCATAATTTAAAAATGGAGACATGTTAATCCCACAGGTTGGGCTCAAAGACTTGCTCACAGGCTTTCCAGCAAGAGTGATGCCTTCCCTAATGTATGGAAGAGTGTGGACTTGTAAGAAATGAGCCCTTGACAGTGACTGCAAGGAGCTTTACGTTTTTCTCAAATCCCCACATCTTTTTCAAAATCAAAATTATGCTGTTTTCACAGAGCAGGAAAGCATTCTCCTTTCTATTTCTTGGAAAACAAATGTTTGAAGAGTTTAAAATTTTCAGACACTTAAATATTTTTCCTGTATTAGCCTACAGATCATTATTTTGATATAAATCAAAGTGATTTAAGTGATGTTAGCAGTGATGCTATGCAGAATAATTTAACAAAAAAGGAAGAAGTGAATCTGATTTCTCTGACTGAATTTTATGTGTTCATTTAAAATTTCTTTTAAAAATACACTTACTCAACTTTTTTGTCTTTCTCATCTGAGCTGTGGAGGAGAAATCATATGATCAGAACACTGAAAAAAAATAGCTTCATGTGTCCTCATTATACCCTCCTATTTCTATCTTAGAAATTAAAATATTAGTTTTAGTCTTTTCCTAGTAACATAGTAACAGCAAATATGAAGATTAAAGTAATTGTCTGGATTATCAAATACAAAATAAACAGAATATTTATATTGTTGACAAACACATTTTCATTTTTCTGCCTTTTGTACTGAACTGTCTGTCCCGAGGCACAGGAACAATTAATTTTGCATTACATTACACAATAGTGGAGTTTGTAGTAGAAATCTACAGAAGGAGTTCCACCAAAAGCCTGGATTACTCTGAATTTAAACTGTCAGTAAGTCACAGCTGGTGCTGGGATGTGATCTGGTTATGCCTCAAACAAGGCTGGTGTTACACAGTGTTACACAGCTGCTTTTGGGAAAAGCCCCATGGCTGCTGCAGTGGCATGGATGGCTTTGCTCCGTGCTGTCAGTGGTGCTGATGCTTGGTAGCAATAGGTGGTGTTGTGCTCACCTGTTGTTTTGTATCTCGTTGTAGAACTTAGCAATGTGAAATTGCATTCTATTAATCACTCTGAATAGAATAAAAATAAAAACAAATTTGTATATATGCCTAAAAATTCATTTTAAATTTTGTCTCTTTAAGATAGTATTACCATACCTGGGAACATTTAGAAAGTATATGATGGATATAATTGGATTTTACTGCAATGACTGTGTGAATGATACCATGTGAAGTAAAAGCTGTATTATATTTCATGGTTGTGATTTCAATCACTGTTTTTCAAAATTAGACAATTTTGCAATAATATTGTTTCATCTGTCTTCGGCGTGACAAGTAAGTGCTAAGAAATACAACCCTCAGAAAAATTTCCCTCAGGGTAAGAGTGTTGTCCTTATTTTCTGTTTCTTAGATTTTTGCAAACCTTCAGCAACTACAAGTAACTAATTAGACATGTGCATGTTGTGGGGTGTGAGGCCCAGGTGTGTTTGATGTCAGGTTTGAGTTTGAGCAGGTGTTGCAGGTCAGGATTCAGTTCAGAGCCACGGCACACGCTGGGTGTGTGCACTGACAGAAGGACTGCCCCAGGCTTCTCAGCCATCTCTGGGCTGCACACAGCACCCACCTCAGTGCACTTCTGCAGGCATTTTGGGGGCTTCTCTCATCTGCCTGTGGTAGTTTGTAATCCCAAGGGAGCAGTCAAGTGTCACACATGATTACCATGTGGCAGAAATGTTGTTCACCACTGGACTGTGCAGCAAGAGGGTCTTTCCCTGGCAGGGTATGAATACTGTCATGATCTCATTCTGGCTCCTGAAACAGCTAAATTGAGGCTTGGGTGAGAGACATGTAAGATCTGTTAAGAGCTTTTGATTTGGTGATAGCGATCCTTCAAGATCGCAACCCTCTGTCCTTTTGAAGGCTTTGTCAGTTAGTTGACATATAAAATTACTTCTGACTTTTAAAATGACACTGATATTTTTTTCTGTAGCATTGAACATGTTAACCCTGGCACTTCAACTTGCAAAATTACCTTGATTTTAATTTAGATAAATTTTTATTTAGCACCCCGGCAGTACTTTGGAAAGTAAGTGTAGATGCATTCTATTTCCTGTCCTGGAGAAATTAAACTTTGCATTTCTTTTGTAGTTTCAGTTTGATACTTTAATCTTAATTTCTTATCAAGTAGTTCAGTATCTGATGCTTCTGGGGATATAGGAGAGGAATTGAAGCTCTTGAACTTCTAAATATCCATGAATAATAAAATTGTTCAAGCTGAAATGAACCTTAGGAGATCCAGCGTCCTGCTTTAAGCGGGAGCAAACTGAATTCAGACCATGTTGTTTAGAGCTTTGTCCAGTCACACTTTGAAAACCCCCAAGGACAAAGATCCTGCAACTTCTCAGGGCCTCGTTTGCTGTTTAATTAGGTTGTTTGTCTCTAGTCAGAACCTCCCTCGTGTCAGTCTGACCATTTTCTCTTGCTCTTCTGCCATGTATCACAGCAGAGAGCCTGGCTCCATCTCTTCAGTTGGCTCCTTGCAGGCATTGCAAGATTGCCTAAATCTTCTCTTCTCCAAACAATCCCCATGGCCTCAGCCTGTCTTCTGAGGAAACACTCAGTGCCTGACCATCTTGTTGACCCTTCTCTGAATACAGTCAGTATTCTCAAATCCTTTGTGAACTGTGGGACACAAAACTGGGCACAAAATCCAGATGCAGATGAGCAAGTGCTGTATCAAAAGAGGTCCTGGGTCATCCTGAGCAGGAGCACAGGCAGCAGCTCCAGTGCAGAGCTGGTTTGCTGCCCGAGCTGCTGCGCCCAGCTTTACCTTCCTGCTCACCAGGACCATCCCCTCCCTCAGGAGAGCTGGTACCCAGCTGGGCACTGCCAGTGCAGGGCTTTACTCCCCAGTGCAGGGTGTCTGTAGCTGAGTCTGCTTGCCCATTCTTGCCTTTCTAGGCCATCCTGTCCTGCAGCATATGGTAGTATCCAGCAGTTTGGTGTTGGCCTAAAGAGGCTGCATCCATCCTCCAGCTTTGCTGATGTCTGTTGCATTGTCTTGCAATTCCAGAGGAAAAAAAAAGAGACTCAAGATCTCATGGCCCTGATGGTTTGGTCTTACCTACATTTAAAGATTAGTAGAAATTCCAGGAAAGCCTGAATTTCAGTTAAGGTGTTCCTGAATGTTTCTGTATTCTATATTATAACGTTAACTATATTTTCCTGTTCTGGAATAACTGTGTGCATAAAAAATACTTCAAATTATTTTTTTATTTTGCTGACAGAATTCAGAAGTAATCCTGACTTGTAAATGGTTAAGAATCCTGATGAAGTGGTGTTACCTGTTTTCAATAGAACTACTTTGTTTAAATAAATAAAATTAATTTCTTTTTCTAGTCATTCTTTTTTTGTTTGTTTTATTTTACAGTGGATTCCAGTTTTGCAAGACTTCAGAAATAAAGACACAGTCTGGGGCTTTGTACCATATCAAAATGACAAATCTTCAGCAGAAATTTCATTTCCAATTACACTTCACATTGGAGATTACAATATGGATGGCTACCCTGATGCACTTGCTATATTGAAGAACACTTCTGGAAGGTAATGCAAACCTAGAAATAAAGCTAGCAGATTCATGCTCAGTCATCATTCATACAAATTACTGACTTTAGTGCATCTCAATCATTTTATCAAGTGAACAAGACTTTTGATCCCTGCTAAGTGTTTTCTTTTGAACCCATGTGTGCATTTACATGCTACATTCAGAATGCATACTTGTATAGGCTCAAACTGGGACTCTGGGTGGGGAACTCCATCAGGGACTGGAGTATGAGGCAGCACTTTAGGCATTCCTCCCAGGGCTCAGGGGCTGATTCTCTCCCTTTCCTTTCCCCACACCATCTTCTCTAAATTCCTGACTTCAGCTGTCAGTGCTGACTAGTAACACCAGGCTGCTGAGAGTTGGGGAACCTGTTCCCTGCTGTCTTACGGAGTGAGCACTGACTGGTAACTGCTGAAAAATGCAGTCAGTATAGGTTTACCCATTTTGAGAACCAGGAATTTAGCAGTGATTTTTACATTGTCCAAGAGAGCTGAAAACAGATAACACACACACCCAAGCCCCTCAAAAAAGAAACTTCTAACTCTTCCTATTAAATTTTTCAGTGTAATCTTCTCATCTTCTTTTTTTCTTTATTTTTTTCTTCATTGCTTGCTTTCCCAATACTTTCTACTGCTACCATCTGGTGCTAGGTGGGAGAGGGCATGTGGGGATGCTCTCAGGGAGCCTGTTGTACACAGAGGAGTCAGCGATCCGTGTAAGAGCTGACCTGAGTGGGTGCATTCCCGAGCTGTTGAGCACGTGCCGCTGGATAAACGCAGGCGGCTGATGGGAACGGAGCAGCCCCTGGGCAGCTCTCACCTGGCACCTGGGGATGCTGCTGCTGGCGTGTCCTTAGCTTTACCTTGAAGTGCAGCAGCATGTTTGCGTGTGAACATGCTTTTGCTTGACAGTAGGGATGATGAATAGACTTGTTTACTTGGGAGAAAAGCTGAGAGCCCCAGAGACCACGATGCCAGTGAAGCTCAGCAGAGCCAGGATGTGTGCACGTGAGTGCAGTCTGTGCTGCATCTGCAGACATGGAACATTATCTCTGCTATTCCCTTTTGCTTCACGTCATCACTTGCAAAAGGTATTTTAACCCATGCTTTGTGGAGTCTTAATGTCTGTACTTGACAAATGCTTGCACTAATGCATTACAAAGCAGAATAAGTCTCTCATACAGGTGTATTTGTTATCTTCCCCTATGTGCTATTTTGAATGATCTTGGGTTCAGGTTCATAGTTTGCATGTATATGGAAAACAAGTAAGGACCTCACTTTGATGCTTCTGATAGTAAGACAATTTGGTGCTGAAGTCCAAGAAGTCAATTCAGGTCTTCTAGTGGTTGCCTGAACATGAGTCACCCACTGACATTTTTGTGTTAGAATTCTTCAGATAGTGACACACCTAAAAATGACCCAGTTTGAAGAGTAGCGTGCCTGTGTTCAGCCTACATGATATGATTCATGACAAGGCTGTGAGCAGCTGAGCTCTGTCTGTACCTCTGAGCCTTAAAATAACAGCAGAGCAGCTGTTTCTATTCAGACACGGCAGACAAGAAGGAGGTGATGCTGGTATGGCCCAGAACTTGCCAGGCAAAGTTAAAGCACTCAGGTCCTGAATGTCAGGTGTTTCACTCCAGACTTTCCTCAGCTGGGACTTTGCATCTTCTACTCAGCAGTCATTGAACAGAGACTGCAGATAGTCTAGAGAGCAAGCTAGAAGCAGCCTTCTCTTTGCCAAAGTAACACAGTGACGTGGGGACTGTAAAGTTGCTGTCTTTGCTTTTGCCTAAGCCTCAGAACTCTTGTGTTTTGAGCTGTACTGTCATGTGCATCCTGATAGCCGGTGCTCTTCAGAAGGGCTGCATGAAGATGCATGGAGTTCAAAAATGTACTTGAAGCTCTTTTAAGTCTTAGGAGGCTCTGTCCTCTGGCTGGAGTATAATTACAGCAATGTAATGTCGTGTAAAATCATTAAACAGTTTGTAAGTAGTTACTCCTGTAGAAGCCCAGAAGTCGCCTATGTGTTGTTGCAATGAACTACTGTGATGCACTTTTATTCTCCTTGCTTCTGAATTTGTTTGCTTATTGAGTGCATTCAAAATTATTTTTAAACTTGACATCAAAGTTGAGTGACACAATAAGGCATAAGGACTGAAAGTACTGGCAGATGATGTGACAAGCTATTAAAAAGGAGATTCAGAAAACTGAGGAATCCTGGCAAAAAACAGAGTAAAGCAACCTAAAAATCAAGAAATACATTGCATGTTAGCATTGTGTCTAGCCAGAATTTGTAGAGAAGTAGTGGAAGCATGCTTTATAGTTCAGGATGGGAGCAAAAGTCACTTTTTTTTACTCTTGCTATGAAATGTCACATTCAATAATAATTCATTGGTTCTGGGAGACTTAAGCAAATACTTCCTTTTGAAATGTATAACTGGGTCACTGATTGGAGAGCATTAAAACAGTGTGGGAATTAAATTAAAAGCTGTTCTTAAATTAGAGCAAATTAAAATGAAAACCTTATTTAATCGATTTTAAACACTTCTGGATCAAGCTGTTTATTTCTTTCTCTGAAGCTTTTCATGCTACATCTACAGATCTAATTTCAGTGATTGATTACTGTGATTAAATGATAAAAGCATTTTTGTAAACTCTTGACCTCAATCTGTGCTATCGTTTAGGAAGCCTGGTTTCTATTTGCTGTCTGTAATGTAAAGAAATTAAAGCAGGCAGAAACAATTTTGTTCATCTGAAGGTATACCAACACATGATAATGGAAGAAAAGGATTAAAATCAATTATATGCCTCCATCACAATTCAGGAAAGTACTTTCAGATCAAATCCTTACAAATCCCTACAAAAGACTGAAAAAAAGATACCACAGTTGGACATAATGTTGGTTTAGTGTCCTGCCCAGTGGCCATGTCAGGAAAATGATCAATAGTTCCAAGTATTGCCACAGCTCTGCTGTTTCATCTCCTGCCATAATCCTTTGATTTGGAATTACACTGTGTAATATTCTGACAGTGTAGAGACATTCCTTACCAGAAACAGCAAAAAGGAGTCTCACTTGTGGTTGTGGTATTGTGGGGGGTTGAACCTTTTGAGCCTTTATTAAGACTCAATAAATTGCATCAGGTACTCAATAAATTCCAACAGGTGAAGGTGCTAAATGCACTGTAGATCCTTACATATTTATCTGTTCAGTCTGAATTCTTGTAACTTCTGACTTGAGTCAGAACCTGTACATTAGAATTGAAGTCCACAGGCTTTTCTTCAGGCTAGATATATACATGAATTCTGTATTAGAAATTGTGTGTGTATATAGAATAATAATAGGTGAAAGGATTTTATCAGTAGTTAGTAATTGGTCTTACCTAAATGAATTCATTTTTTCGCATGCTGATTTTAAATTGACTCTGGTAACATTGGAATTGTAAGTACTGCATGTGAGTTTATAAGCATCTATCTCCCATCTAATTAAATGAAAGGAATTTTGTTTAACAATTGTTTCCAATTAGACGCTAGTAATTGGCATCTGGCATTGCAAATATGTAATCTAAGTCTTTCAAATCCGTTTTTATTCAAAGGGAATGGTTTTCACTGGTCAAGTTGACAATACTTTATCTCTGATACAGTTGATAACAGTAAAGGCTGAAACTTGGAGACAAAAAACAGCTGGATATGGAGAGTTGAATAAAAAACTTCTAAGTGTGATAGACTTCTAGAAAGTTTTCTAGGTGTTCATGCTCAGTTTTAAATTAATGTATATCTGTTAATCCTTTATATGGAAGGACTCTTATTCGACCAAATTATCTCTTCCTAAATCATTATTAGTTGTCACTTGTCAGAAGGAAGGTTGGATAGAGGACTTCTTTTAAATGAAGGATTGATGAGCACCTTGTAATTGAGCAAATCTAAAAAACCAGAGGCAAATTCAATTATTCTGAACGTCTGGAGTAAGATAGTGGTGATTTAGATGTCCCTGATATTACTTTAAATGAACTACCCTAAAACTGACAGCATGAGAGATGTATGGAATTAGCAGTAAATATTTAATTCTAATTGCAAAGGAATATGTTAAAATAAAACTAAGATAAGTCTCTAGTCTTTCTTTGGTGTTAAGCCTTATTAAATCTCCCTTTCCTGCATAGATGACTTTGGTCAGAAGGTACCAAATTGGGATATAATGTACTTTGGAATAAAGCTGCAGGTAGTACACAATTTGTCTGCAGCTGTGTATTGGTGGGTATAGCTCAGTATCTGAAGTGCTGCAAATGGCATGTTAAGGGCAATAGGCTGGTCTTAGTTCAGAGTTCTTGTGCTCTCTCTTGTAGCATTGAAGCTGAGTTGTTTGGTATTGACTGTTACACATTTGTAGAGCACTTCAGCATTGATTTTTTTTTTTAGGTTTTACCATTACAGGAGTGTCTGTCTTTATAGGCTTTCAAGGACATTGCTTTGTCATTTTAAGGATGCAGATGATTATCTTGTTACAGGGAGATTCTTTCTGATGGGAGCTCTTCAGAATTTTGTTCAAAATAATAGGAAGGTCATAAGCTTGCACTTATTTATTATAGTATGTATCAGAAAGGAAACATGGCAGTAGATACTTTGATTCTAGGGCTCCTTGTGTATCACAGGCCTGAATCATAGAAGAATTCAACTGGCAGCTCACAGGCCAAATGCAGATGTTTCCCAGGAACAACCTGAGCAGCTGAGGAGGCAGAGAACAGCAGGTTCTCTCCCCCCTGCAGAAAATCAGGGCCTGCAACTCCCTGTTGCTGCAGCATGGCCTGCACAGCAACATTTCGTCCTCTCAGCTGAGATGCAGCACACGGGGCAGGGGATGCTGTGTATGAATTAATTCCTTTCCTCTACAAGAGAGCTCTCCCACAGCGCATTTCATGGGTCTTCAGCATCTGTTTAGGGTTTGAGATTGCTTTTTTCTTCCTGTTGTTTGTCTTCTGTTTCTCTTGTAGGTACAGAAGGGTGAAGGAAAGTGGCATTTCCATACTCAGTGCCACTTTGATTAATGTTTTCCTTTCTTCTCAGTTATAAGGAAAGAAAATAAAAAAGTTTCCCGTAGTAAATAAACTACTTGTGTCTATCCATTCACAAGGCTTCTAGCTTAGACTTGAGTAGTGTGCAGAGTATAATGCAAACGTGAGTCTTTTATATTTTAATTATCATCTAAGTAAGTTCTGACAATTTAAAAAAATCTGAACTGAAATAGTCTTTGTAAAAGGTTGTCCAGATTTTCAAAAGCTATGTTGAGATGATGAAAAAGAGAAAGTGAAACAAACTGCTTAGCTCAGCTTGTCACCTTACCTTGGAGTTGGCTATTCTGAAATGGTACTTAGGTAATACATGAAATGAACGTGAGCACTTAAGAATTTCAAGTTGTGATTATGAGTTCTCGGATACAGATAATGCAGCACCTTAAATATTGCAGATGACCTCATTTCCTTTTGGCCATAGTTAATTCAGTGATTTGCCTAAGGAGAAGTGCCTGTGCATCCTGGCTGCTGCTGAGACACAGAAGCCACCTGGCTGTCCCCACAGAGCCAGCAGCGTGTTCAGGGTCACACTGAGGACGTGGTTCTGGCTGCTGCCCTGGGCTCTGACAGCTGAGCTGCCTTTACAGAACACTGCTCTGGCTCCCGGCTCTGCCCCCAGAAGGAGAGGAGGAAACTTCATCTGTTTCCATTGCTGAGGCAATGAAGGATTCTAGCAGGCTCCCAGGATACAAACCTGCCTGAAGAGTTGGACTGGGGTTGGTGAAGTGTGAGGTTTTCCCAGTTCCAGAAGCACTGATACACTACCAGGGAGAGTGGGAACCTTGTGTCTCCCACTGACCTACAGGCACCTATTGGATACTCCTTAGAGGGGAGATTTTTCTACACTAGCCCTGGCACTCTGCTTGGTTTCTACGTTTACTTGTTTAGTTTTGCACCTGCCTTTAAAGGTGTTACATGTCAGCAAGTGCCTAACTTGGTTTGTCTTGCCCTATTTTTACTGCACTTTAGCAGGCTGGGTTTTGTGGTTTATATTTTGCTTGAAACAGTGGAAAACATACAAATAGAGGTTTGGTTTAATCTCAAATTTGCTTGAAACATGCACTGTGTAAGAAAAAGTGTTAATGGAGCTGGGATGAGAGGAAGCTGTCATGCAATAATGAAAAAGCATGGACATGTTTTAAATAGTGTTTAAGAGGACACACTGTGGAAGGGATTAAGGAAAATGGCAGATAAGTTCATTTGTAGTTTTTTCAGAATAAAGTAAGGATATGTTCAGTCCTTTGACTGAATGGTTAAGTTACTCATGTTGGTTTGGATCCATTTATTTTATGTTTTCATTGTTGTAAGTCAGGCATGACAATGATTGTAGTTCTGTCTGTAAAGTTCACATAAGTACTTACGGATTTTTCGAGTACCCAGTTGCTGCTAGCTGAGCTTTTACTACATTTAACTCCAGGGCACTTAAACTATTTAATTACAATATTTTTTAAATCCTATAATTTAGACTTATCTCAAGTTTATGTATTATGTATTATGTATGTATGTTTTACAGCAATCAACAAGCATTTTTACTAGAAAATGTCCCATGCAACAACGTGAGCTGCAAGAGCGTGCGGCGCATGTTCCGGGTGTTCTGGGAGCTCTCAGACCTCAATCAGATCAAGGATGCCGTGGTAGCCACCTTCTTTGACATCTATGAGGATGTAAGTGCAGCTCCTCAGCCCAGCAAACAGGCTCTGGCTGTGGCTGTGCCCATCCCTGGGCCATGCACAGACCTTGCATTGTCCTGCTGAGCTGTGGATGGCCCTCTCCGTCCCAAATTGATTGGCATTATATTCATAATGTTTGAAAGATATTAAAATAAATAGCAAAGATGTAAACTTTGCTGTACAGCATTTTTTCTCAAGAGCAAATAAGCATTCTAATGTAAACTTGGGATTTTTTTTCCTCTAGGGAATCTTGGATATCATTGTGCTAAGCAAAGGCTACTCCAACAAGGACTTTGCTATTCATACATTGAAAAATAACTTTGAAGCAGATGCCTATTTTGTTAAAGTTATTGGTAAGTTACCAGTGCATAATAAAGTCAAAATGGAATATTGAGAAGGATGTGAATATTTGAACCTTTGCATATGGGAACATTGTGGTAATGTTCTGTACCTGTGCCATAGCAAGCCTGCTTTGCTGGAGTTCAGGTGTGTGTGTCAGGTGGGAATGATGCAGAAATGCCTTCCAAAGGGGCTGGTTTCATTTCAGGGGCTCCTGGCATGGTGTGTTTTGCTTGCACTGCATGATCTGTTCTGAGGGTCACTTTGTATCCCTGTGGGAGTCAATTCTGTGTTTCCAGCCCAAATCCATGTGGCACAAACCACACCTTACCCTGAGAGCACAGAGTGGCCAGGGTGTGTGAATTAATGAGAGCTGGTTTAAAAGGCTTGAGTTAAATTACAATGTTCATAATTAGGTTTTTAAACTGCTTGCCCTTCTGTGTTCTTCAGCTGCAAAGGCGTTGAGCTTTGAGCTCATTTCTTGTCTGTCTTGCATGATTTTTTGAGAATGAGTGAAAAATGAGGCTGTATGGGAGCCTATAAAGACAAAGCTCACTAGCAACAACCAGAGGTTCACCTTCAAAAATTGTATTTGCCTTCATGTTACCTAAATGCATCCAGTCCTCTAAGCCATACATTCTGCACACCATAAGAGAACAGAACTGCAGCTACTGCTGGGGGCTGATGCTATTATTACTTTGTCCACAGCCTGAGCTCTGTTCTCATCGTGATAGTGTTTAATCATTTATCATGTTGGTGGAAGCCTTCTTTCAAATAATACCATCTATCTGTAGTGTAATTCACAAAAGCATGCAGAAAATCCTCTGGGAGAATCTTACACTTCACAAAGCCATACCAGAACTCTAATTGTGTGATATTTTAATGGGGAAGGGAGTAGTTTGCAACATGCTTTTTTGATTCACTCTGTGTAAATCTATCTTAAAAACTGGGGCAAGCCTTTTTTTAGCACCCTTTTAGGGTATGAGTATTTTTGCGTAGAAACCCCAGGAAATGGGAATTAATGAAGGTCTAAAAATATTTTTACTGTGATACAGGGGAAAGTATTTCTAACAAAATGTGCTTTGTGTGATTTAGTGTATCAGTAAATGCATTGTGTTCACTTATTTGGCATATGGACAATGAGAACAGCTTTGCTCATTATAACTGATGTCAAATATACTTGGCCAGGTAATTTGTTCCAGGGCTGAAACTGAACAGCAAATTTCAGTGTGCCCTTTTGCATCAAAATGGGAAGAGTTGGATCCACTTGCATACTCACCTATGTTTAACAGATAAAATTAAAGCTGTAGTGTTAAAAGTCTTATCTGTAAGTGCATATAGTCTTCAAATTCTGTTTTGCTACACACACATTTGTCTTAACTGTCCAGATATTGGGAGGGTTTGGACTGTATAAAATATTACATCTTGCTATATATAAAAATTTCAACATTTTGAAATCACAAGCAAAGAATGGTAATTTAGGTGTCTGGACAATTATTAATATTCACACACAAATTATTAGAAAACTTCGTTGAATAGAGTAGTGCCATTTCTGACTCACATAGGGAGTGATTTATAATCAGATTGTGAACATCTTAAATGCACCTTTCAGTATTTCCATAAACATTTTTTAGCCTTAACTCAATGGACCCTTAAAGAAGACAGAAAATGCTTTAAGAAACTCCTGATAGTTAGGACAACCTGCCCTCAAATCTGGTCCAAATCTTCATTTTCTGTCTGCCATGCTTGCTTTGTGATACCATAATTGATGGAGAAGTAATGTTTTTCTCTGGCTTCAGTACCTGGTGTGCATCCTCCTCCCTGCCCATAGCCATTACTGGCCTGCTGCTCAACCGAACTGTTGCCATTAGAAGTCCAAATTTTGCATCAGAATGGACCTTAGATTATTGTATGTGTGTGGGTTTGTTGCTTTCTTCTCCTACTCAGTGTGACAGGATGTCCACTGCTTACAGAACAGATGGCTTTCACTGTCCCTCATTTAGGTTTTTAACAGAGATTTCTGAATGTAACTGGTTTTTCAAACTAGTAAGTTTTAAACAATTAATTGGAACAAGTGTCACAGGCTTTAGATATTAATTAGCATTATATACACCTGCTTATAGTACTTTTGAATTAATAGACTAAATTGGTAATGGGATTTTTGCTTGTTACAGCTTTCATGAATTGCTTTAAACCACGTTCCAAAATGATGTCTTATATAGAAGGAAAAGCCTTTATCTTTTTATGAGTTAAAACAATAAAGCTGAATCTCTGCCAGTATTTTAAATGGTTGGAAATGAAGAATAATTAATACAATGTATAGTTCACTGTTTTAAAAATATTTTAATTTGTAATTTTTCTGGCTGGGAAATCTGTCCTTTTGAAGTTGGTTAACCAGTGAGATGGGGTAAAACAGTCGTGAATTTCTGCCAAGTATGCTTTCAACATAAGGAAATGTTATGCATTACCATAAATCACAAAGAAGATATTTATTTTCTTTGTGTTTTGATGGCTACCTGACACTATCACTAGACTTTATCAGATTGCAAAGGTGGTGCTTCTAAGATGGTTTGTGCACATAAACACAACATGCTGATAAACACAACATGCTCACTTTTTGTTCTTGCAGTTCTCAGCGGCCTCTGTTCTAATGACTGTCCTCGGAAAATAACAGTAAGTGTAACTATGGCCTTGTTTAGTATTTAGCCTCAAATATGCTGAAGTCTAACTCTACCAAAAACTCTCAACATATTGAAAGAGCTGTTGACTGGAATAATGTATAATCCAAATCGTGACTGGCCACCTTCTGCTTCTGTGAGACCCATAACTCCTGGCAGCTGCTGCTCAGAGCTGGAATCAATTGATTGTTGTTGTGCAGGAGCTTTGTTACCCTGCACTGGGGGTAACCAGAGACAAGAGGAATTTGGGTGCCCAAACTGTGAATTCTGCCAAGTCTAGGTGGGCACTGAGTAAGTCCAGGCAAAACTGACTGGGGGGTAGATTCAGCCACTTCTGGGCCCAACTCCAGCAGTGGGCACAGCCAAGGAAGGAAGTGCACTGGGCTCTGATGATTCTGCAGGCAGCCATACACATGTGGTGTTTTCTGTTTAGATTATTTTATTTGTCTCCAGAGATCTGCAACTCACCCACCAAACTGCCAATTAGCAAATTGTTTAGCAGTGTTCACAGTGAAAGCTGGCCCGAAAGAGGAGCTTAGAGTAATCAGGGGTAGCAGTAGCACTTTAGCTCTACAAAAGTTTTCACATTTAATTTTGACTTCAAATTAGAAAAACTGCTTCAAATAGGGCTAACCTTTGCTTCAAGCCTATTTGAGACATGGGGTTTAATTTCTGTTATAAAATAATGAGGTTTGATAGTATCATTAACTTAATTACAAAAATGGAGGGTTTAAAAAGCAAATCTTCACAGCAGATGTTGGTGGAAATTTCATTATCGAGATCACTGAAACACTATTGCTCCCATTGTAATAGGAGTTCTCTGACAGAAAGTAACATAAGGTACATTTTGCCAAAGTACAGCTATGTGGCACCAAAAAAAAATTTAAATTTCACCTTATTCACACATCTTTCTTAGATCTGCATTAGCATCACCTTTGTGGTCTCCTTAGTTTTCATTCTAATCAGTTATTTTCAGGCTTTGATCTCATCTGTCATCATTATCACTTACTCTTGTGGTTTAAACTTACTACTTCTTGAGGCATGGTGTGATGATGGTCATCATCTCTTTTAGTGTTCCTTCTGTAACTCACTTGAAAACTCTCTATTGGATTTGATGTCCTAATATCAGCTTGAATTCAGCACTAGGAAAAAAAAAAAAAAGAAAAATTCCTTTAAAATCTGTTCCTGTAGTTGTCTCTCATCCTCTCCCTTCCCACCCTTTCTTATTTAGGTGCATTTCTTATGGTTCATCACTCAGTAAAGCACAACTTCCTTGGATGTTTGTTCTTTCTCATGACTGTACTTTGATCTTTAAGTACATTTTCTTCCTCAAGAAAATTTGCTTAAAATAGATACCAATACTTGCCAAGTCACTGTTCAATCACTTTCATTAATGTTTCATTAAATGAAACACTGCTAAATAATGATAAAAAGATGGAATTTGTGTAGTATTTTTCAATTCAGAAATACCATCAAGATAGTGCATTCTCTTGGTATCAAATGTTCTGCTTTTTCAGAACATGCAGTTATTTCTTTGAATTTTTAGGGGGTTTTACTTTACTTATAGCTTCCAAGGAAACTTTAAACCTTTTGCCAGAGGACTGAATAGTATTGCTTTCTTCATGAGAAACTAAGCATTACTTAGCCAACTGATTACTGTGATTTTGAAAATTGATTTCCACATAATGCTATGAACAAAACAGTTGCAAGATTTTGAAGTTAAAATGTAAAAAATAAATTCTTAATACAAAAAATATAAATTCTTAATGTAAAAACATTTTTCTTCAGTTTACTGTTTAATTACTATAGCTTTTTCTGTTCCTAAAATAGTGCCTGCCTTTTTCTTTGGTTTTTATCCCTTGTAGCCCTTTGGAGTTAATCAGCCTGGTCCTTACATCATGTACACCACTGTAGATGCAAATGGATACCTGAAAAATGGATCAGGTAAGAGAAACTCACTGGGAATACCAAGGCACAGTCTGTCTGTATTTGTGCTTCTCAGTAACCTAAGGAGCTGGAAAGGTGACAGAGGGAATGGGAATAGTTTCAATGGTGCCTTTGGTTTACAGTGCCAAACCCCCCAACGTTCTCTTCTTTCTTTACAGATTGCATTTTTATTACAGACATTGCAATTGCATTATTTTTTCATTTGTCCTGTGCCAGTTAGGTTTGAACAGTTGGCTGTAGCAAAAAATCATTGGGTAAAATATCATCAGTTTGTGAAACAGCATAAGCTCCTAATTGCTTCCTAAGCAATTATGTATTAAGAAACAGCAGTGGCCTTGAAATACCTCAATACAATCCTAGTAGCCAGATGACAAAGGATCAGGATAATATTCAGGACACACAGGATGCATTTGTCTGGAGTTGTTCACTACAACTGGCAGCTCACAAAATCAAATGCTGAGTAGCCCGAGGAAGCTGGAGGGGGAATGCCTGTGTCCTTTCAGGTCATGCAGGAGCTGCAGGGAATCAATCTTCAGGTAACAGGGTCAAAATCAAGGGGAAGGGGTGCTTGGTGCAACTCGTATTGGAACTAAAGCTTTCATGGCCTGAGATGGTGCAGGTGCCACGGTTTGCAGGAGTCCGAAAACAAAGCAGCCAAAGAGAGAATCATCCATTAGGCTGTGGTCCAGGCAGTGCCTGATGTTAGAATATCCTGGGGTTTCTGCTGCCTTCCTAGTGCGTGCTGGTGGCTTCTAGAAAACACAGGAGACTGTACTATGTGGTTTATTAGTCTCATTTATGACTGGTAATCTTAGGACTATAATGGACTCATTTCTTGCTTAGGCAGAAATCCCAAACTCATAAGCTGAACATGATCAGTAAGTGCAGTCATCTGTAGCTGTCACTCCACTCTCATTTCAAATTAAACTCTGATTTTAGAAAAATGGCTGCAGTAGTTCCAGATTATATTCTGTATAACACTAACTTCAATAAAAACAATCATTTAGTGGAGAAAATGCTGACATGTTAAGGTCCTGAGTCAATCTGAATCACTGGTAATGCTCTCACCATGAGTAGTGTGCTCAGGACTATTATTTCCAACTGGGAGGAATTAAAGAGAAAGAAGATGTCCTGAAATGCAAACCAGATAGCTGCAAAAAACATATCTTGATACTCTAGCATTTCTGTGCATGCTTAAATAAAGACATTTTTCTACCTCTGTGTCATGGAACAATTTACATCATACAAATGGAAAAAAAAATAGCTTAAAATTTGGACCTATTTCATGTGTAATTTTCCTAAATCTTTTTCTGTTTCTCTCTCCCAAGAACAAAAGCAAATACATTTTTCTTTAGGGTTTGCTGAGTTTGGTTGGTTGTGGCTTTGTTTGTTGGGGGGGGCAGGGGGTGGGGCGAAGGGGCAGTTCTTCCAGAAATGCAGTGTTTTACTGTTTACTCTAACAGTTATCAAATGTGATTTAATACTGCTATATTCCCTTCACAGCTACCATATTTACAATAATAAAAACCTAACAGAGTCCAGGCATGATGAATTTCCTTTTCTGTCCTGACATTATGAAATAACAGTAATGAATTCCAAGTGTATTTATGACCCCAGCAGAGTTGCTACAGGGAATTTTCTAATGCTGTCTTTGATCAGTTTCTCAACACTAATAAGTTAATAGATTTTTTTGAGTGTGTATAATTCCTGCAAGAACTTTTGAAAGTCATGTTTTCTGAAGGTATTACATTACGTTTGTAGCTAGATTTTCTTCTCTTGCAAATGTTATCTGTACAATTCAGTAAATATTCTAACTACAATTACTGGCCTATATAGGTTGTGGTCTGGAAAAACAGCCCATTACATCACAATCATCTTCTATTTGACTACCAGGATGTCATCAGGATATATCAAGATACATTATTTGATATATCAAATGATATTATCATCATTTTTGGTCCATGTATAAACCTACAAAACATCTTTTCCACTAAGCTTTTATTCCACTTTTCCATTAAGCTTTTATTTGTATAGCATCTATATGCTATTTTAAAACTAATTTTCATCAACTTATTTGCCTTCATTATGTAATATTACAGGAGAATCCATATTTGAAGCTTTTAAATTATCTGAAAGGAGTAATGAGCTAATCAAATTTTAAAATAATTAATCCCTTTCCCAAGAAGTAACATGAGTAAAACTAGTTCTTTTTCTGATGAAAGGAGACTCAGCACTCCTTTCCATGTCCCCCTCCAAAGTCAGCTGCTGTTATTTATTGCCTTTATGGCTGCGCTCAGTGGGGGAACAGTTGTTGGCTGGACCACTGCAACCAATCACCTTAAGTTATCCCTCCAGCCCTGGGCTTAAATACATCATGAAGTACTCAAAGCCATGGCCCCCACTCTGCTTCTGATCTCCTAAATCCTGCAGGACTTCACTGTGAGTTATGGCATCTTTCATGCAGGCAATATTCATGCAAAAAGTCAAATAAAAAGGCCCATATGGCTGTCCTTATCGAATTCATTTTAAGGTTCTTTGATCTGCCAAGCCTTAACTACAGGGAATTTGCATAACTATGAGGGTTTTCTTAAAAACATTGTTAGAATTGTTCTGTCTCTTATTAACATTCCAGTATGTTGTTAAAAGATAGCAGAATAATAATTAGCATGTATTCTGTGCTTTTACTTTCACATTGCTGAATCCACTTGTAGTCTTACAAGAAATACTGTTAAATTAGCTACAAGGAGTAGCAATTGCCAACATGGGCATTAGGATGGAGAAGTGCTGGGCCTTACATCTGCAGTTAATATCTCCACAGACCTTCTCTTCCTGAGAGGAAAATCAACTGCAACAACTTCTTCAAATATTTAAGGAATTTCATGCTTGAGGTCAGACCAGGTCCCATGTAAATCTGGAAGAAGTACACCAACTCAAATTTAAGTCGTGTTTTCTGATCCATGTCTTTCTTTTGGAGTTATTTTTAAGGAGATCCCACAGTAAAGTGTGAGTGTCAGCCAGGATTTTCAGCTCTACATATACATTTCCAGGCTTGTCTTGGGAGAATATCTTCTGTGCTTCAGCCTGTGCTATGCACATCTGAATTTTCTCTCCCAAAGTAAAAATATACTGATAGAGTTTGAAATAAATAGGCTCATACTTGCAGCTTGTGTCTACCAAACATATTAATTCTGTGGGCCAGGAACAGGTGGCAGTAAATACCTCAGGTTTCCTCAAAGCTCCATATCCACAGGAAGATGACAAGAGTAACTTCACTGAATGGCTGATACGGATCAAGTCATAATTTGTTTAAGCACCTGTGTGAGTGAAGCTGTGTGGACTGATGGCCTCTGCAGCTCTCATTCCAGAGCTCTTTCATTTTGCTGCCTTTGCTTTGTTTTGTTTTAAACCTTCCACGGCAGAATGACCTTTCACATGCTGTGAAGTCGTGCCCTTCTGGTTTTTTGAAATCTGCTTACTCTTCCCTGTTGTTGCATTGAGTTCTCCTGCTGTTTAACTAAATTGAATTGTGAGGTGAACACAAATGTCTAGCAGCTATTATACTTGTGAATTTAAACATAAACATTGCAATATGTACCAGAAAAAAAGGCAAAATAACCTTATTTTCAATGGCCATTTGACTCTGCAAGATTCATTGTGTTGAATTCCGCTACATGGAAAGAAGAATGTATTCATGGAACAAGCTGGAATAATTTCATAATTGAATAGCTGCATTCCATGAGAGGGATTTCCTGTTTGCTATAGGTAGGAGTAGCCTTCCAGTATATTTTTCTGTATAACTCTCTTTTGTTTAGAAAGCTTACTTGAACTTGTAATGTTGATTGCAATATTTGGACACTAAAAATGACACAGCTTCCCCCTATCAGCAGTATGATAATTTTCTTGTTGCGGGGTTTTAAGTTACCAGTTTTACTTCTGTAATTTTATGGTGTAAAGGTATTTTTCATAAAAATACATATTCTCATAAAAAAGCATCAGGTTTGGAGTTTGGGCTTGCAGAGGTGTCCCAGGTTGGCAGCACTGCAATCATTGGTGTCCAAATCCCGAGAATGCACTTTGAATTCACTTTCCCATGTTATTTCTGGTACTCCAGAGCAAGATATTGCAGACAAGGTTGAGGTGAAGTTGTGTACTGCATTAATCTGGAATTTCCTATTAGGGGGACTAAGGAAAATTGGCAACCAGCTGGGGAATACAGGGAGGAACTCACAGCCCTTAGAAAAATGAAGTTACCATTGCATATTTTAAGCAGAAACAGAACTCTTTGACCACTACATTTCTTTTTTCCAACCAGTGACCCCCAAAGGCAATATGAAAGGAACTGAAGTAAAACTTTCAACTAAAGCCAAGCAATTCAATTTCTCCAACTTTCTATGAAGCTTCCAAGTTTGAAGTTGTTAGGTTTTTGTTAGATTAGGTTTTTTTCCTGAAAGCTTCTTTCAGCTTTCAGCCTAAATTCTTAGGCACAATCCATGGGTTTCTCCAACTTTCTATGAAGCTTCCAAGTTTGAAGTTGTTAGGTTTTTGTTAGATTAGGTTTTTTTCCTGAAAGCTTCTTTGTAAATTCTTAGGCACAATCCATGGCTTTTTCATTACTATCAGTTATATTTTCCCTTTCTCTTACCACCAGTAAGTGGTTGGCATATTTTCAAATAAAAGGAGCTGCCAGCTTTAAAAAAAGGGGAATTACTCAGTGCACTTTAGCCCAGTGCTGGCAGTGGCAGCAGAGGAAGCATCACTGCAGTGCTCCAGCCGTGCAGGGAAGGGACACACAGTCACTGTGATCACACCCAAACCTTGCACTGCCTCTGCCCTGTTCCAGCTGTTGCCTGGGTGTTGCTCCCAGCTATGCAGCAATCCGTGCGACCTCTGCATGGCAGGTTTTGGACAAATTTTTACTTTTCCTAAGATACATGTGTTTATCTAATCTATATAAAAAAATGCATTCATGTGCTAACCTCAGTGTTCAGGTAGGTGATGGTACAGAAGAATTTGCATGCCAGTCTGAGAGTAAAAGATAGACTTTTGGAATCCTAAATAGTATTACTGAATTTTGAATTATGCAGATTGGCTTTTAATTGGCTAATTAAATGCAAATAATATTTTGTTAAGAAAAGCATAATAAAAAGAATTGTAAGGAATACTTCAGGAAGCTACAAGTTTGAAATCAGATTTTCCATTAGTCTTTCAGTTCTGTGTAGTGATCTTGCACGTTCTGCTGTTATTTCACAAAATAAGTTTATTTAAACTGACTGAACACTATCAGTATTGTGCATCTATTTCTGAGGCTGTTCCTAAATCCAGTACCATGTGTTGTCAGTGCTGTTTAAACAAGAGAAGGCATTGCTCCTACTTTCCCCTCACAAAGTTAAATTCCTCAGCCTGAAGTAAGCTGTTGAGGACATTTCAGTACAGCTCAGGGGAGAATAGGCTACCCTTGAGCTTTCAGCAAGTTTACATCAGCATAATGGAAACAGAAGGAAAATGACTTAATTCAGGTATAAAAGAACAAGTACTGGATGTGTCACAGACAACACATGGCTCTGGTTTTCAGACAAGGCTTTAGAAAGGTTAATGATACGAATTGCTTCCAATTTTATATGCCAGGCTTCAGAGGTAAGGAGATTGATTCCAAAAGGTCCTGAATGGTTTCTGAATATCAAACTCTGCAAAATCTTGTGAGGTTTGGCTGCCCAACATCATTAGCTTTTTCTTACAAATTTGATCTCCGATAGGCTGAAACCACAGAAAACCGTGTCCTAAAATGTTGAGGATTTTACTGTGCCCAAGGTTTTTTTAAGCAATAAACTTAATTATTTATGATTTAAAACAAGAATATGTATACCAGCACTAATACCAGTACCATAGCCCATGATATCTGCATGCTTTGAAATGGCATTTTTGAAACAAGACACTTAAGGCAAAAGACATAGTATTAAATAACTTATTAAAAAAAATCATGTGTAACATGATCAGGAGAAGGTTTTCTAAGTCTTGTTTATAGTAACAGTTCTACTGATGAAGTAAAACAAACTGTAAGCAACAGCCACGTCCTCCATCTTGCCTACACTGACTTCGAAAAAGCTAAAGAACAATTTGAATGTAAGAAATAAATCCCACTTTCCTCCTTGAAGATGCAAAACTATTTTCAGATTTTCTTGGAACAAGTAGAAAGCTGTTTCCAGTGGTTTTACAAGAGGGCAAATTGCTATGGTTGCTATTTAATTAAATTTGAAATATTTTCATAAGTAAATTAATTAACAGTATCTGGGAACTCCAGATAATGTCAATAAACTGTTGACAGTGCTCTCTGTAATTTCTCTTTTTATTTTTCATCTTGGCTCACGGCTTTTATGTTTCTCAGGTGAGCAGTTGTCATTCTTAATTACTTGGTTGCAATTCTATGTGGAACTTTTCAGTAAGCATCAAACAGAATTTATGATAAATATAGGCTGAGGAAAGCAAGGAAGAGTCTCAAAGTTCTCCTGTGCTTAGTCAGCTTTAGTAAACTGGAACCTTCTACATGCTAACATCCTGCTTAGCTAATACTTCCCAATTTTAAAAGCAAATAAAAAAATAGGTGTGTGCACATTTCTGCCTGCTGTGTAGAAGAAAACATTCCTCTCTGACCTTTGCAAATGATCTGTTTACATCCTGAAGCATAAGATTTCATTATCCTTACCTTAATAGGCATAAGAACCAGCATTAGTGGCCATGAAATTATTCAGTGCTTTAAGAATTCTAGCTGCAGTATGTGACTCTCTAACCTCTTTAAGGCTGACTGCACACAGTATATGACATTTTCTTCTATTCTCTTTAATTTAGTTGACATTCATTTCATTTGTAAGATGAAAGAAAAAAGCAAGATCTTAGTTGCAGTCTTCTCATGATCCTAAATATTTCACTCAAAAGTAATTCTAAAAGCTTTTCCATGTTACAGCAGTACCTTGTTCTTTTGAGGAAAGTCCTTCAGCATGCAGCATCAGTGAAAAAATTCTAAAAGGAAATCTTTTTTATGTTGCAGCATGATCATGTAACACATCTGGTTTGTTTCTATAACCAAGTCAAATTAAATACACCCACCTTTGCTCCTTACTACTTGTATATTGGTAACTGGGGGAGTCAGATATTATGTACTTTGAGAATTACTCCCATTTTAGATTTGGATTTTGACACCTGGAGATTGAGCAGTTTAGCCAAGATCATGCTAGGGAAGTCACTGGCAAGGCAGGGACAGACTCAGGACTCAAACCCTATGCTGTCCTATCCTGTGTTCTCTCAGCTTCCTGGGAAAATCCCTGTTCTTAAAGAGAAAAGCTGCTCAGTCACTGCTTTGTGCCACATCTTCTGTAATCGAGAAATCTACCCAACAATGTGCACAGTACACCTTGTTCTCACAACAGAGACCTGAAAGTACAAATCCAACTTAAATATTTTCTTGTCTGCTTGCTCATTACATGGTTCTACGTGGGGAAAAAATAAATCTAAAATGTGTATAATCTTTAGGAAGACCATTACTGTTTCTTTTTGCTAATAGCATTTTAGCTTAATAAAAAGATAACTGCATCAAGCTGATTTTTCAGATCTCGGTTGACATTTATCTTGCTTTTTAAAATAGAGTTGTTATAATTCTAAACACACAATAATAAAGAACATTTACCTCCTGATTAAACAGGCCTATTTCAAAACATGCCTGACAGCATAAGGCAAGTGGCTTCCTCAAGAGCTGGTGGGTAAGGGAGGTTCCCAAAAGCAGAGCCAATGCTTGCACTTATTGGCATCTCCAGGATGCCAGGAGGGTGGGTTTGGTTTGTCTTGAAAGGATATTTGGCTTTGCCAAAGAAGTAGTGGTGAGTTAGGAGTTTTTCCTGCCCCTGTGTTCAGCACAGCTGTGCAGAATGTTGTGTCACCAGTCTGGCCCACAGCTGGTGGACTGAGGTCAAGTGCTGCCTCCTGAATCAAGTCTTGGATGGGCGTGTGGAGAGGTAAAAAGGAGTTGGCTGTAAATTCATTACAAAATATGGATTACTGTTCTTTAATTCACATTCTGTTGTATTTTGTTGTTTAACTTACATTATGCCTGAAACCAGAATTATATCAGGGATCAAAACTGAGAGAAATCTGATGCTCTGAAAATACTGAGTAAATCACATTCTTGTGAAAAGCTGTTTCTGTTGGTCACAGAAACCCATTTGTGTTTGTCAAGTGTCCCTTGCACTCATTCCTGTTCAATCTGGTGAAGGCTGAATTCACTGTGGTGTTTCTGAGGTGCTGATACTGTTCCTGCTGTGGGAGCAGCTCACTTGCTAAGAGAACAAAGAACCCACACAAGATCTGAATCTGTTGGCCAGAAATTAAATTATTAGAAGATTTTAATTTTTTTTAATTTAAATAGAATACCTGGATACGTTGGAAGTGGATGCTGGTGAACATGTTGATACTGCAACACTTGTCTGTTTCCCCACTACCTTTTCCAGGAAACCAAGAATCTTATTTTCCATCTACAGTTTCTGCTGTAATTATTATTAACTTGCAACCACTGCAGTCCTGTTTTCAGTAAATTAATTTATTCTTTGAAAATTCGTTCACGAGAATTTACTTAGCTAATTGTGTGACAGTAGTAATTACAGTTTAATACTGACAAGAATTAAAGTGAACCTTCACATGTTGAGTCTAATCTTGTAAATCAGTGGGCAAGAAGCTTGGCACTAATCATATAAAAATACATGCAGATAGTTGATTTCTTCTCAGCTTGTAACAAATAATGGAGATTTGAGTTAACATAGAAATGGTACTCAAAAGAATTGTCTTATCTAAACATGTAAAGTATTTAAGCTCTTCTCCAAGTGAGTACTCAGGTAGTTTGGAAATGTGGAACTTTAAGAATTAAATAATCACGCAATTGGTGAAAAGTTTTAAACATTTTTATTACTGACTGGGGAATGTGTACTTGTTTAGCAAGTTGGTAGTTTGGGGGTTGCTTGCTTGATTGATTGATTGATTAGGGTTCTTTTCCCCTAAAATACCTACTTGGGCTTCCTTTCTGCTTTCTTGCAGCTGGCCAGCTCAGCCAGTCAGCACATTACGCTCTGCAGCTGCCCTACAACGTGCTGGGCTTGGGCCGCAGCGCCAACTTCCTCGACCACTTGTACGTTGGCATCCCTCGGCCCTTAGGAGAAAAGGTTGGTTGGCATTTAAGATTGTCAAGCTAATTGTTTATGGTGCCGGCTTTCCTGAGAGACTTTGGATGGTAATACTGCTGGGACACTTCTTTTTCATTTTCTGAAATAAGAATATCAAAGAAGTAATTTTGCATACTTTTGCCCAAAAGGACCAGTTTGCCCAGTTTTTTGAGGAGTGTATAAACTCTGAAGGCAAAATCAAACCGAAAGATGACTGAAACTGTCTATAAACGTTAGCACTGGTATTCAGTGCTTGTTTGTAGAGGAAATGGGTATTAGGCCTGAGGGGGCAGTTATTGTGGCCTGCAGTAGCTGCAGGGCTTTCCCAGATTGCCGTGGCTGGGCTGGGGCTCATGTACTCCCTTCTGCCCCGGTGATAAAGCCATGGGCACTGCCGTGGTGGGGGGAGATTGCTGTGATTCTCTAATCTTCACATGAAACACAACAGTGGGGTCCTTACCATTTTCAGTCTCTGAAGATCTGATGGTATTACTTTGAAAAGTGAGGCACTCAAAAGGGCCAAATTCTGATTTGGATAATTGTTTTGCCTGCCTCCTATGTAGAATCAGTTCTTTTTTTCTTTCCCTATTATATTGTTGCTTTGTACTTTTAAAGCAGATGCTGTGTTTTATGTCAGCAAGTTATATTGCTTTTTACTTTGGGGGATGGGTTTTAAAGCATTTTGGAGCTTTCATAGTAACAGCTTTATACAAAGACAAAGGAATTAATCTTTTATATTTAAAGTTTTTAAAAAACCCACAATGTTTTTATTTCTCCTTTCGTATGTTTCAACAGAGAATTTCTTTGCTTGTTTGTAAGTATGTTGGTTTGTTAGGAATTGACACAGCCTTTGTTTTTCTTTCAGTCCATAAGAAAACAAGAATGGACAGCTATCATACCAAACTCCCAGCTTATAGTCATTCCCTATCCTCATAATGTTCCTCGAAGGTAATGTCATAATTTGGATTTGCACTTCCCAAAATTACATTAATACACAGTGTAAATTAGGCATTATGTGTAGGTTTAGAAATAGTTATTTATATAGAAAGTTACTGAAGAACAAGGGCAGGGGGTCAGTGCTGAGCTGGAGCTGAAAATGCTGCTCAGGTATTTACACAGCCTCTCAGATGGTGCCCATAAACAATCTATTAAAAAAAAAAAAACCTATTACTGGCTCAGACAAACAATCAAAATGTATTACTAGCTCCACTCCTGTAAATAATAACATACTTGCTAGATTTAACAACATCCTCAGTGACAAATTATAAACATAGTAATGGTTGAATTAAGCATTTTTGTTTCACCAAACATGCAATTTCTGTCTGGTTTTATAGAAAAGCTTTGCTTCAGCCCTTCTGAATGCAGTAGCTGTTGCTACAGGAATTAATGTTTGCCTTTAAGTAAAGGTGAATGGGTTGGTTGCACGAGAGCTTGAACATAGAATTCACTTTGCAATTAAAATGTTTCTCCCAGAAAGAGAGCGTGTTTCTCTTTTTGCTGTTAGGGAAAACATTAGTCAGATATTCCAGCTGCATTTTGCCGCTTGATCTACCAGTGAGGTCAGTTGCATTTATCATGCAGAAATGATTCTGACATCAGTTCAGCAGTTAATTTTACTAGAGAACAAATAACAGTGGAGAAGTGATGTGCTGCTTGAGTTGCTAATTAACAACCACAGAAATAACATCTGCCAGATGAAAATTTAGTTACAGTCTTGAGGTATTTAAAGGTATGTGTTATGCAAAACAATTTCTGTTATAGTATCCTTAAACTATTTTTGCCTTCATATAAAGTGGGTTTAGGGACATTGTAGAATAGCAGAGGATGGAATCCCCAGAAGAAGTCCAATTTCATAACAAAAGCTTCTTAATTTATATATTTTTTAACATAGGTATGTGATTTCCTGATAGGCCTCAACCCAGAGCCTGCTGCTGACAGCTTTCCCATGATAGGAAGCCTGTAGTACAAAAAGGGGGTCCCTGGGCCTCAGGACCTCACATGATTTGAGAGATGTCTTCCAGGAGTCCTAAAGTGTTTAATTTTATTGATCTTCAGCCATAATCAACTGCTTATGTTTAGAACTGCAACTGTCCCTGGGTAAACTTCAGAAAAAGAGAACTGGACCCATGAGACTGTCCTAGAGGAGCTTCTCATATGGTAGAAAAATTGTCCAGGGTTATTTTCCCCTGCTGCTCCGTGTCCCCAGGCCCTAGGCATTCCTGTGAAAGGTTTCCTTATGCATTTTGCTTCATCCTAGGCAAGGGCAGGAGATAAATCTCCTAATGAGAAAAAGCTAATTCCCTGAGGATATCCATAGCATTCATGAAAAGTTAAGCAGAAACTGTACTTAGACATGGTATTGCTGAAAAATAATTATATTAAGCCATATATTTCCAAGTAAACATCATTAAGCCTCACTCTCTAAATAGAGCTGCTCATTTCTGTAGATCAGGTTGTCACCTGTCTTAACCAAACAGGTTCTCTTCATCTTTGTAAGTAAAATCTGTTTTCTGCTTCTTAATGAAGGGTATTAATGTTTACTTGGATTTTCTTCTTTTGTATAGCTGGAGTGCCAAGCTGTATTTGACCCCAAGTAACATTGTACTGCTAACAGCTATAGCCTTAATTGGTGTCTGTGTTTTCATCCTGGCAATAATTGGCATATTACATTGGCAAGAAAAGGTAAGCTAATTTACTAGAATATTTTATTTAACACTCCCTAATATTTTACAGACCTGTACATTGGGTTTTTTTTTTTTACATTTTCCTACAGTATAATAACTTCTGACACAGACTGAATTGTCGCAAAAGATGTTACTATTAATTCAGTGTTTACCACAAGTTTAAAAATTGGCATTATTTTTACTTAAGCTCTAAGACACTTAAGCTTGTGTTGCTCTTCATTTCCTTTTTTCCATTAAGCTGTTATTTCCAATTTAAATCAGCCAACTTTGTTTCATATCTGAGCTTTCCATTTTGCAGTTTTAAGGAGAACTGTTATGGAAAAGGGAACATAAACTCAGTTTACTTACCTTGAGTTCTGCTGGCAACCTAAAAACAAGGGGAAAGTCTTTTTTGTGGAACCCGCTTTGCTGGTTGCACTGACATTAGCATTCAGGAACATATAGGGAGTCAATCCTGCATATTGGCTGCTTTGCTCTGTGGGTCTGAATTACACATGCAGGGTATAGAAACCCATTGATTTGAAGAAGCCTTTTGAAAGGGACCTTTCATGTCACAAAAGAAATGCATTCCCATTTTTCTTAACTATGCTCAGTTCACAATCATACCCAGCTGGCAGAGTTGCCAATAAATGTTACTACATACCCAAACCATAATCTTAGCTGTCAGATAAAATTACTGCACATTCTGACATGGTATAAGTGTTTGTTTTTGTGATGGTGGAAATAAAATGACCTTGTTAAACATTCAGACAAGTTTGCGCATGCTTCATATTTAAATGTTAGTTGTCTGTCAGTCTTCACTCTTCAAAATGTTAAATACAGTCTCCAGCTAATAATGAAGCTGGGACTCAGACACACAAAGGAAAGAAATACAAAGTTTGTGATGGCTGTCGTTGGCGTGTCCTGCTGTACCAGGAAAGCACTGCTCACTTGTAGCCCAGGGCGGGGCACCGCCTGGGTTTAATTCTCTCTCCAACGCATCTTCAGCAAACAAGAATAGCAGAAAAGGTGCTTGGACTTTGAGTTGGGGAACGATTACCTATGTAAAATTGCATCTGGAGAAATGGAGATTTAATGGCAACATTCAAAACAGTTTTTATACAAGAATTCAAGCATTGTAGTGTAAGGAAGGACTCAGCCCAGAGTGGGTGCTTTTAGAGCTGTTTTAAGTCCCAGGTGTGTGTGAATGAAGTGGTATATTGGTTATATTGTAAACTCATTTCCAACTCTGCAACACAAAATAGGCACAAATATTTGGACAAATTGTGTGTATTTTCAGACCATTGTACAAACGTGTTAATTCCTATATTCTTCCTATAGATTTTTACCTTCCCGGTGTTTAGAAGTGGTTGAGATATTGAACAGATAAGAATGTTCACCGAGGCTGTGTTGTGCATCATTGACATGTGTAAAGTTGAACTCCAAAGTTCCTTGTTTCTAAGCTTGTTCTTAGTTTACTGTCTCTCAGCAATCCTTTCCTAAAAATACTCTCCTGGCTAAATGCCTGTCCCTTGCAGATCTCTGGAGTACATGTAGCAAAGAAAGGAAGGGGGAATGAACTGGCACTTAAAATCTTTTCTTTCCCCCAGAGAATGTATGTGTCCGTAAGCTGCAGTGTTTTATTCAGTAGTTTAAATAAATCCTGGACTTTGACCTCTGCAGATAAATAGTAGCACGAGCCCTTTGTCTACAGTAGTTCTTACACCCTCATCTGCCAGCCAGGTATTGGAGTACTGAAATAACTGTAGGGTTTAAGGGTAGGTGTTGCTCTGTCTTGCCTTAGAAATTTTGAATGCATGAAAAAAAAAAAAAGCTTTGAAATCTCTGTTACTAGATTTTAGTTTTGAGACACTAAATGAAAGAGAAATTGAGGAAGAATTGACACCATTATTCATCTTACAACAAATACAGTCTTGTACATTTGCTACAGCCCTCGATAGTTCTTATTCTCATTCTTGAGAACTTGCTTTGGGGTCATGAGGCTGGTCGTGGAAACACTGCACAGTGATGGAAATACTGCTGGAGAGAGTTTGCTGGATCCAGCAGAGTATCAGTTACTGTCAAATTTGAAGCAATAATTTTTTCAGGAAGCATTCAAGAAATGGAGTGGAAATTGTTTTCTAAGTGAGACTATGAAATTTTGTGGAATGTGACAAGCATTTCAGTGTAGGAAAGAGTGTGCCACTCCCTTCTTCCCACCCCTTTTTTGACATCCAAAATACTACTGACACTGATAAAGTCCCTGCCAAAAAAGCCAGACTGATATATCTTAAACCTCAGTGACAGCTCTGCTGCTGCTACAAAATGCAGTAAAATCCATATTTAATCCAGTGGAGTTGCTATCACACATAAACATTGTGTAATGAGGAAATCTTTGGCCTTGAGCCAATGCAGACGATGAACTCTCACGGCAGAAGACGGGCACTGATTTCTGCCACAATTGTTGTGTATTTTTATCAACTGAGACACAGTTCTGAATGCCCACGCAGCACCTGCTGGAGAGGCTTTTCTTCATTTTACTCCTTAAAAAAAACCAAAAAAGAAAGAACATGGATCTCTGCAAGCTAAAAAGCATTTCAGTCTGCTTTGCCAAATTCTCTCATGCTGGGATTTACACATACTATCTGTCATGACACAAGCACAAGTTTGCACTGTGTGTTGAAGAATCTTGAAGAAATGCTTCCATCCTCTGTTAAGTGCTTTAGCACACGAGAGGAGACATGTGGGAGAGGACATGTTTTGACACGTGACATGAATTCTAGGTACAATTTAAATATGCTGCTTTTTTCCAAGCACCACCCAACTCACTCTTTCAGCAGGTCAGTGTGTGTTCTGCATAAATAAGCAGGGAAATGCATTCTACTTCACATTTTCATAATGCAAACAAAAGACACAGAACATTTTTCACCTACTTGGTGCTGTTAGTTGTTGGTTGAGCTGCCGTCTTGCTCTAAAGTTGTATTGAACAGAATGTTTTTTAAATGAGATTCTTCATACGTGTAACATAAATTACATTTACAGTTAGTCCACAGTAATTTCATTTTCTATTTAAAATGTAGACAAAATGGATACCAGGAAACAGTTCTCAGGTTTGAATTATTCCTTTTAAAAAGCATTATTAGAAAAAACAGAAAATAATGGGTCGTAAATACTACAACAGCAGAACATTAACAGCAGAAGCCAATTTTGCGTAGATTATTGCTATTTCAAGCTGACATCATTTAAAAGTTAATTGTTGGGGCTTTTGCTAAGCCTTTTTGCCTTTTGTCAAATGGCTTGAAAAAAATCAACCATTCTCTGACAATTGACAGCTCATTTCTGTAACAGTATTGCTCTAGATTCCACAAAGTGTTTTTTATTATTATTTTTCAGAAAGCAGATGACAGAGAGAAGCGACAGGAGGCTCATCGGTTCCATTTTGATGCTATGTGACATGCCTTAATATTTATGAAGGAGCTGCTACTCATTTGCTTAATTGAAAGACTAAATTCTGATTTTTAAAATTATTACCATGAAAGTACTGTTGGTGTGTTATTTGTAAATGTTGCATTATCTGGTATTTATTTGGGAAGTATTAAAATTAGACCTGAATGTCTCACAAGGCCTTTCAGTTAAGAGACTGTATATAATAGCATTTGGCCTTTATTTAACAGAACTGTAAATTTATTTTTCTTAGTAAAGGGATCAATTGCATGTACCATTGTTTATGTACCAATTCTTTAGTAATATTTGATAGAAAGGTATGTAAAGGAAGTGTAGCATTTCAGTGAGCAGAATACCTTGTATCATTTGGATTGGTCTTGTCCTTTGTTCATTCCTGCAAAACAACCTGGTTTTTGAAAATTAAACTTGTGCAGTTTCTCAGATTACTTAATCGTTAATTGTTTTGATTGTATTAAATGGTGCTTAACCTAAAGTATTCTGTATTTTTCTTTGTTTAAATCCATATGTGCAATAGTTAAAGAGCTTAAGAATTAGAGAACCAAAAGGAACCTGCAGTGTAATGTGAGTTCAGTCATCCTGGGATAGATGCAGTATTTATGTGTGCTACTTCTGCTGAGAAGACAACGCATTAAAAAATTAAAATCATAAAAATGTATCAGCATTATATAAACTGCTTTTATATTTAAACTATAACTACATTTGTTTTAGAAAGGTACAATGTCATTATGAAAGTAACTAATTTTTTTAACATAAGAAAGGTATGGAATTTTTTGTTTGGCTTTGTTTTTCAAGAAGTCAAAAGAAACATTTTTGAGGAGAGATTGAGGATTGACACCCTAAAATGTATTGCTAAGTGATGAGATGTGCAAAGATTAAATTAAGAATATAATAGGACGCTCAGAATAATCAATGCACATTTTCTATGTACACTGCTATGCCCAAATTTCATAACGCTGTAATAATGACAGAAGACATGTTGCTCACCTTTAAATCTTTAAAGTGGTGATAAAGTTACGGTTGCTCAGTGTACTTGGGATCCTGAAAGAATCTCTGGGAATAATTATGCTTTTATTTTACATGAGTTTACACTATTAATTCTGCAGTTGCATCAGTTAATTTGCACTCCTGATAGTGTTTGATAAACTAGAACATCTTTCTCAGCAAACTGGAAGTGTTGCTTGTCAAGGCACTCCGTGTGCAGGGGGTCCCTGCTCGGGGCTGGCACCTCCCGGGAATGCTCTCTGTGCCTGGCAGGGCAGCCCCAGCCAAGAGGGAACAGGTCCAAAGCTGGGCTGATGGTGCTCATCCTGAGTCAGGCAGAGCCTGGGTTGCCATGGCAGTGCTGAACACTGACCCATTCATACAGCAGCACCAAGCCACAAGGCAGAGCAGCGGTGTCCTGAGCTCTGAAGTTTCACTGGGTATTTCCAATATGCACTGATCATGGGTCAGCACAAGAGACTCTCATATCACATTACTGTTTTTATTCAGGATAGAAAATTTCCGTAATGCACACCTTCAATTTTTCTCATGAAAAGCTAATTTTTAAATTTTTTTTAGATAAATGCTTAATGCTTTTGGTCTTTTTAAACTACATTGATAGAATTGGCTCCCACCAACAAAAGAAAGAACTGATTTCATGTTTAGGAGGATCCACAGTTGATATATTTTCCTGTCTTTTTCAGATGGTTGGAGAATAATGCTAAATGCATAATGCACCGTGGCAGGAAAGTTGTCTGTAACCCTCTATCACAATATAATACACATAGATTAGCTTCCTTTTGTTTTTGAAAAAGCAATTAGGAATAAAATAACCTCATGCTGACATTTAAGCTGTTGTACAAAACAATGAACTTGGTATCTTTTTCTCTGAGGTATTTTGCATGCTCAGTAGTGCATCATTGCATCACTATATACAATATAATAAAGTTTACTCCAGGTTCTGAGTACTTGTAGCATGGCTCACAGTCTATGCATACTGTTGAATTAAGGCATTAAATATTGTTAAACCTGTCATGAGAGGTTTCACGTTGTACTTTGGTTCTCTGTTCTTTAAGCATTAAATGCATGTTTGGGTAAGGTTGTTGCCCTTCTACTGGGATGTTTAAGAAAGCAGCATCAGTTAGAAAGTTGTAGTTCCAGGTGATTGTCACAGTAACTGCAAAGTGAGAAATAGTTCGAGCTACATAAATTTTCAAACTGCAGCCACTCTAACACAGCCCTGGTGAGAAATGCTATTGGAAGCTTCTTTGGTGTGAAATTTCACCTATATAAAAATACTGTTGACAGTCCAACTGACAGATGGCTGTTGAAATACCATCTTTCTTTGTTCTCATTTTCCATGATAAGCTTTAAGACTGAATCTTCCTACCAGATTTATCATTAATGCACTATAATCCCCCAACAAAAGAACCAACTTTTCTGGTGCAGATTAATAGGCATATTCTATATCGTATGATATTCCTCCTGTGCTGAGGCCATCGTGCTTAACAGAGACATTAAAACACTTACTACAGTTAATGGAGAAGTAATCACTAGAAACGCAGCGAGTTTGGTCAATTCAGGGCTTCCACAGAATCACAGAATGCTTTGGTTTGGAAAGGATTTTAAAGAACATCCAGTTCCAGCCCCCCTGCTACGGGCAGGGACACCTTCCACTATCCCAGGCTGCTCCAAGCCCCATTCAGTCTGGCCTTGGACACGTTCAGGGATGAGGCAGCCACAGCTTCTCTGGGAACCTGTGCCCAGGACTCATCCCCCTGACAGGGAAGAATTTATTCCTAGGATCTAACCTAAACCTCCTCCCTGCCAGCATGAAGCCGTTCCCCCTGTCCTGTCACTCCATCCCTTGTACATTGTCTCTCTCCACATTCCTTTGTCGGCTCCTTTCAGGCCCTGCAGGGCCACCCTGAGCTCAGCCCAAAGCTTCTCCTCTCCAGGTGAACAATCCCAGCTGTGCCAGCCTTTCCTGCCAGCAGAGCTGCTCCATCCTCTGCTCATCCTGGTGCCTCCTCTGGGCTCTCTGAGCAGCTCCAGCTCCTCCCTGTGCTGGGCCCAGGGCTGGGGCAGCTCTGCAGCTGGGCTCTCACCTGAGCAGGGCAGAGGGGCAGAATCCCCCCTCCCTCACTGCCCGTCCGGTCCTTCTCTGCAGGTTTGCTCTTGACCTATTGATCCCCAGCCTGTGCCAATATTTGATATTGAATAGATATCTCTGGATTGTAATTGATATGTATAACTTCTTTCAAATGAATGACACCAAAATAGAGCAGAAGAAGTCAATCCATAAGCTTCTGCTATATTATAACCAACAGTGTAAAAGCATTAACTGCCTCTGTTTTGAAGGTATTAATAAATATTTTTTTTTAATTTAGAAAATACAATTAAGTTTAAAATAATCTCATACTTTGCAAATGTGTTGTACTAATTCTATAAGGATGGGCAAATATTTTATTCAAAGAAGTATGTTAAGAAATCAAGAGCAGTAGAGGAGGTAAATCTGCTATGCTGCTCTAGTAACCCTACTGTCCATTCTGGGAACAGGATCTAGTTGTTGAGGCACTGGTAATATTGGCCTCCCTGTCACTTTGAAAATAACCAGCCACACAGCACTATTTTTGTAATTAATTCCTGACTTCAGTGAGAAATGTGATCCCATCTATGATACAATCCATAACAATTATAACCCAATTTTGAAATTAATTAATTTTTCAACCTAAACCAAAAAAGTCTGTAGGTATATTCTAACAGTCAGATCTAATTATATTACCTACCAAATAGAGAAGTGCACTGTAAGCTTTCTGAAGGCTATGAGTTTTCTTCCTGACTATTCAAAAGTTTGCAATGTTCATTACTCAGTAGTAAATAACAAAGCCAACTGTGCATGTTTATGTATGATTATGTATTACATATTGTAATACAATTACAATCATATTATAATACAATACTGAGGCACTTGTACCTTCTATAATTTTCTAATTATAGAAATTATATAATGAAATTAGGATTTATCAAAGGCACCTAAATTGTACTGACAAAACCAAGTACCAGAACAGTTAAAACATAACTCATCTCCTTTCATAATTACTCACTGTCGACAACTATATTTTTGCAACCTCTTTTAAAAACGATGTCCAAATAGCTGCTGATCTAAGGCTGTTTGGGTTGTACACTTTGCTACTCAGGAGCAGAAAATATTTTAGTTAAATTAAAGTTAAAACTTCTCTCAGAACAGCAAATCAAATGAAGTTTTAAGGAGGAGGCAAACCCAGTTCTAATAATTCAAATGTAAGCCTTTAGCTGCAGCAGAGCACTGTTGTGACTGACTCATTCCTCAGCTGCTCATGCAGTGTTTACCTACATCAGAATGAGTCCCACTGCCTTCCCTGAACTGCTGCTACTCAAAAATAATCATGAGGATAGAGCATCAGAACAATACACAGCTGGCTGTCCAAAAGCTGTCTTCAACCTTTCTTGACTCCCAGACTTAAGTTTAATTAAGTGCAGCTTACTGCTGGCGTGACCCAGTGGCAGAGAGTTTTCCTCCCCGGAAACCTGCGCTCTGCATGCTCAGAAGACAAGAACTGAAAGCTTCTTCAGACCTGTCACCAGTGAAAGCACCACCTGTAACAAGAACTCCAGCAAAACAAAGCAACAGGGATGTCCACAGGAGAAATGTCTCTGAAAGCAGCAGTAAACAGGGGCAAAATGTGCCCCAAATCTACAATTGATGCTACTCCCTGCCTCTCCCACACTGACAGCTTGACACAGCCGTGGAAAGAGAACAGGATGGAAAAGCTGCTCACTTCCCCAAGTGTGTAATAGCTCTGTTCAACCTTCTAATGGACAAAGCAGAAGTTGAGCTCTTCAGTTAAATTGACTGTAGCAGATTGGGTCTTTGCAATTACTGCCCAAACTTGTACTGAGCACACAGCTTTACAAGGGTTTTCTCTCGTCTCTTGGGTGAGAGACAGTTGACCACAAATAGTTCTCTTGAATGCAAATTCAGCCCAAGATCTAAGAATCAGGCCAGTTCTCATTTCTTATATCATCACAGGTAATAAAAATATCCAAGTCAAATTTTGCCATCAGCTATACTGTGCATTCCAAAAAATAAAAAAAAGCAGGCAATCCCCTGTATAACAATCTGCACAACAGTACAGTCAGATTTTAATTATGTGCTTGCAGAGAGGATAAAAAATTGTGAATGATGCCAGATACAGTAGTCTTGGATATTTTCTTGCATTACTACAGTAAACATTTTTCTTAGTAAAGAAAATGTGAAGTAGATACGCCTATTGAGGACTTCTTTATGTACAGGAGTTTCCACTATAGTAGTTATCATTTCATCACACTGCTATAAATACATGGTTAAGAGGGGAACAGAGGAATCGCTTTGTCCACTGCTGGAATGTAGCAGCTATTTCACAATTCATGGAAAAACTACGCTTGGAGGAGGACTGTATCATCTCTATTTGAAATTGAAGGGACAATTCAAGTAAGTAGAATAATATAATTATGTAACTTGGGATTTTGCCAAGCCATCAAGCTTAATACTTCATGAAGCTTCTTGCAACACTGAAATGGATGTTTAATACCCAGAAAAGCTCAGGACCTTTGCTGCGAGGTCTCGCCGGGGGTCTGGGAGGAGCAGCTGCCCCCCACCCCGCTGCCCCGCGGGCCCCGGGGCCGCTCCCTCCCGCTGATCTCCGCTCGCTTCTCCATTGAATTCGCCCTCGCTGACACTCACACTGACTTGAAGCGCCTGAAATATTTAACAGATAATCTGAAGCAAGAGAATGACCTTTTCTAACAGGATAGGCTGACCTTTGAACATTGTAGAAAGAATTTAACATTCAAATACACAGCACCTAACCACAAGGAAATCAGAGCTTCACCTCGCACGCTCGTGTTAGACTGTACTGAGCTGCCCTACTCCTTAAGCAGACGGACTCCCAAGTGGCAATTACGAATATAATTTACAGTTTGCAAAATCTGTTGGGTGTAGAGAGTAAGTTGGTTCCAAATTGCTTCCACAAAGTGCCCGCGCTCGGACACCTGGAGCGGAACTGCGCGCGGGGCGCCTGGAGGTGCGGCCGTGCATCGCTGCGCAGGACCTGAATGGGGACCGCGACCTCCTCAGTGCTGGGAGCGGCACCGGCGCAGCTCCCGGGCACGGCACCGGCGCAGCTCCCGGGCACGGCACCGGGGCAGCTCCCGGGCACGGCACCGGGGCAGCTCCCGGGCACGGCACCGGCGCAGCTCCCGGGCACGGCACCGGCGCAGCTCCCGGCACGGCACCGGCGCAGCTCCCGGCACGGCACCGGCGCAGCTCCCGGGCACGGCGGCGCCGCGCCGCTCCTGCGGGCCCGGCCCGGGGGCGCCCGGACCGCTCCTGCCCCCTGCGCAGAGCTTTGCAACACGCACAGGTCTAAACAGAGCGAAAGATCTCAGCTTCACCTAACCGGCAGATCCAAGGAGGAGACATCCTGTGGGAAATGCCCAGCGATTCTTCAACCTGTGTTGCCTATGGGAGATTTGAAAGCATCTTTAAGGAACTGCCGTGTTGCTATCATTTTACACGTAGCCTATGGGCAGTACAGCCTTCCCCGGCTGTCCGGCACGGCCGCGACTCTCGCTCTCACGCACCTCCCTGGGCAGCTCGGAGGGGTCTGGCAGGACGGGAGTCCCCGCGGCGGGATCTGCTGGTCGGCGCCGCTCCCTCCCTGCCCTTCCCCCGACATCGCCACATGCCTCCACTTCAGGCCCTTTCCCGAAGTAACATCTCCCCTCACAAGCGAACCCGATGTGATGGATAACCTAAGGGACGGGAGCCAGGGCAGGCAGCAGGCTAAGTGCGCCTTTTTATTAACTTCTTGTAAAGTAATAGCTCCATTTTAGCTGTCACTCTTGTCAAACAACAGCCGCACAATAGCGTGTGATGGGCCCTTCCCGGCGCCGGAGCTGCAGGCAGCACACTGCAGCCAGGCAGGCAGCTGGGCACGCCGCACTGCCGGAGCCGCGCGGGCTCCCTGCCACCAGCGAGGGGGCAAAGGGGAGACACGGAAGACCAAGGGAAGCACCGTGTCCCTTTTACCCCATGGAGACCCACTCAGATCCCAAACAAAGCCGGGCAGCCAGGATTCAGGCTTATCCAAGCAACCGTGTGCTGGAGAGGGACAGCACCGCTCGCCCCCGCGGGGGACGCTCTCCGGCCACCCAGGAACACAGGAAAAGCCCGGCAGACGGGGGCAGGATGGGCCTGGGGCACGAGGCACGGCGGGGGCCGAGGTACGGGACCGAGGCGGCGCGCTGCAACGGGGCCAGTCCCGGCTCCCCGTGGGGACGGGATGAGAATGGGTGCTGCTCCAGCGCTGTCGCCCCCGCCTCGGTGCCCGGCCGAGCGGGAGGAGCACAGCGGCCCCGCTGGCTGCGGCTGCTTGCGGGGCTCCGTCGGGGGCGGGCACATGCGTACAAGCAGCTCATCCAGGCAAACACCCCTCACATCATAAATGAGCTTCATTTAGCAGCAGCCGCTTCAGTCGGGCTGGGAGCTGCCGGGCTGCGCTCCGAGCGCCGCGCGTGGAGCCCCCCCGGGGCAGGCCAGCCTCGACGGAGCCCGCCGCGCCCCGCTCTCCATGGGACTGAGCGCGGCGGAGGCTCCGCGCTCGGGCGGCGGAGGCTGAGCGCGCCCCGCGGGGGCGCCGGGCATGGCCGTGGGCGGGCGGGGGCCGAGCCGTAGCCGCGGGCACAGCGCCCTCGCGGGGGGCGCCGCCGCGGCCATGGAGCGCCGCTGATCGCCGCCGCCGCCGGGAGACAATGGCTCTGCACAAACTCTGCTCGGTGCTGGAAGGTAGGAGCCGCGGGCGGCACGGCGCCCCGCCGGAGCGGGGACCGCGGTACCCCCGGCGGCGCCGCCCCTTCGGCCGCCCCGCGCTGCCCCCGGCGCCCTCCCTGCGCCGGCGGAAACTTCGGAGCGGCGGGCGCAGGGGCGGCCGCCCCGCTTCTGCCGGGGCTGCTCTTCCCGAGCCGACACTCCGCACCTCCCCATCGCACCGCCCCACGGCCCCGCGTCCCTGCCCGGCGGCCGCCGCTCTCTGGCCCCGCTCTGCCCCACGCGAGACACAGCGCTGCGGCGCCGGCCGGGGGCCGCGGCTGCCGGAGCCCAGCGCGGGGCCGGGCCGGGGGCCCGCAGCCATCCCGGGCTGCCCCCGGTCCCGCTAGTGCGGGCGGGCGGCGGATACACCTCGGCACCTCGGGCTTGGGAGGTTCCAGCGGCGGGGACACCTCGGCACTTCGGGGCTGGGAGGTTCCAGCGGCGGGGACACCTCGGCACCTCGGGGTTGGGGAGGGCCCCAGCGGCGGGGACACCTCCGCACCTCGCGTTTGGGGGATCCCACCGTTAGGAACACCTCGGGTTCGGGGGCTCCCAACCTGCAGTAACGTGGATCACACTGGCAGCGACTCTACCTCGGTGACCCGTATATTCCCCAGACACACCGGCGGTATCCTACGCTCGTCTTTTCACAGTAAAAATACTCTTTGCTTTCCTGACTTTCCTGACAAGCTGCTCCACACTGTTCAGCTTATCACACTTGTTATTGGGTCTGTTTTCAGTAAGGTTTTCATAAAATCAGTCACCCGAGTCACAAGCTACACCCTGACCAGTGTTTACCTGTGATTTTCTTCTTGAGGCTTTTAAATCTTGTTTCTAACTTATTTCTGTTCAGAGGTAAACAACGGAGCAAGGCTCCTCATCCGAGCATTTATTTCTTTGTGCTGTATTTATACAGCTCGACAATGGGCGAGGGGTTTCTGTTAGGAAAGAAATCTTGATGTGGCACTTAACCTTGTGCCTCAAGAGATTATTTCTAGCATTCTGTATCTTCTTGAGCAATAGCAGACTCGATGGGGATTCCAGTCTGTTGGTTTTGTTTTGTTTTTTTTTTTTTTTAATGATGATTATTATTTTAAATTATTCTGTTAGGAGATATTGGTGTGACTGCATGCATTATTAAAGCCAACAAGACACTACTGCAGAGTGGAGGATTGTTTAGTGTACACATTGATGTCTTCCCAAACTATGAAAGTTGTAAAAAAGTCTGTTTTAAATCCAGAATGTTTCCATGGTCCATAAATTCCCATGTTCCTGGCATGAAGGACTTCATGTCTTTAGGGTTTCAAAAAATATTTTTCATTTATTAGCATTATAACTGAGAGACAGAAGATACTTGTTCTTAAAAAATGTCTGTCTCTCTACATTGTTAACCATCCACTGAGTTTAGACAACATAGGAACATATGGCTTACATGGGGAAGACAAGGCATTTGGATTCTTTTTTCTACTGCCTCTTTTAAATAACATATTTAAATATCAGAAGCCACCATAAAATACAACTGTTGTATCTACTGCCTAAATACTTTACACACACGCTGATTTAATTACATTTCTAAAATACGTGATTGCTGCAAAATTGACTGTACAGGTTTTCCAGTGAACATACCTGTGTATTTTTTTATAGTCACACTAGTGTCCGGGTAAAAAGTCCCTCTACAGGAAGTTTTTTGTATTTTTCATAATCCATAAATTGCACAAAGCCATTAGTCAATAAGCTGTTAGTATTCTAAACGCATCCCTTGCCATGACTACAGAAACAACCTATCATTACTTAGCATCATAAACTCCCTTTTAGCTCTGCTTCAATAGAAGTCGTTGCATAGTCCCATTATTACACCTAATCAGAAATAAAAAAGTATATTCCTGTAGATAGGTGTATAGATTCAGTTCCAGAAGGAAACTGCTGGGAATAAAATTCAAAGTAACCATCCATATTTTACAAATTGCAGTTTAAATTCTGCATGGAAGCCCTACCTACAGTGGCAGTAATTTTTTTTTTTCTCCATACAAATAGCTTCATGTGCAGAACTGGGGGAGTTCTGCTAAACCACATGCAAAGTACCATGAAGCTTAGTGTATCATGAGAAGTCATATTTTATTTAATACTTCTTAGTAACATCTTCTGTTCTTCACATGGAATGCGTGTATACATTTTTGTCATCAACCAAGAATCTATTTTGTGGCTGTTACCCCAGGGCAGAAAAGAGCCCCTCATGCTTTGTGGCAGTTGGAATTTCTTATATTAAGCTTGTTCAGAGCTATTCATCTGTTCTTCCTCAGCTATCAATATCAAGGACTATTGAAATAAACACTCAATGTAATTCTTTGTCTCTGTCTGTAGTGTTCAGCAAAACTTTTAAAAACCTCATCCTGAGTCCCACCATCCTGCATGGATTCTTTGCTCTCCCCCAGCTCTCCCAGGCAGCAGTGCCGAGCGGCAGCGCTGGTGGAGCACGACAGCCCTGAGATTTCAGTGGCTGCAGCTTTTGCTCAAGTGGAGCCCAGCCAATGCCCACCTGCTTTCTCAGCGGGCTCTGGAACCTCTTGAAGGCCAAGAGCTTGCTGCATTTGGGCTGTTGGAGGACAAAGCCTTTGCCTCCTGCCTTCAGTTCTCAATGCCATCTTAAGCATGCTAGAATCATTCCCTGAGCCTGGCACGGCTTGCAAAATGCAACTGCTCTACAACAATAAAGCACCATAACCCTCCACTTCATGAGAGAGAAAAGCAGCTGCTTTCATAATAAAGCCATGCCCCTGTTAGGCTTAGGATAAATATAAACCTACCTTGAATTTCCTCATACCTGGTGTTCCCCAAAAATGTGTTTGCTAAGAGTTTGTTCCCATGCTTCAAATATGCTCCCTCTTTCATTTCCATATGCTGTTATTTGCTTTTAAAAACTGTACAAGCTGTCAGTTAAATCCTTCCTCCACATTAATTTTGGTCTATTTCAGTTTATATATTGGATTAATTTAGAAAGCCAAAAAGAGAATTCTGTAGCTTCTGACCCACTAATTCAACAAGCAGCCAGGGGTATAACAAATTACTGCTACATTCCCAACCTTCCAGTGGGCTACAGAATTATTTCCAACTCCATCAGGTTACAAGAATGTGGACTGCTATGATTTAACTTCCTGCCATTCTGCTCCAGCTCCTCATTTGCATTTTGGCATGATTTTAACAGTTAATTTCTCACAAACAAGTAGTGTTAGGAAGTAATGCTTCCTTCCACACAAGAGCTAGAAATGACTGCTGCCTATTTCCAAAACCAGAAGGTGTAAGAATGCCACAAAAAGCTGAAAATGGGCAGAAAAAAGGTTATTCAAAAATCTCCTAATAGTTTCATGATTTGTTCATTGAAGCCAAAAGCAAAAGTACTGACTGTAGAAGCTACAGTGACCCTAATGAAGGCAGTATCGAGTGAAGTCAGAATGTTATTTTTTACTTAAACAGTATCTACTTTCCACCTTTTCTGCTGCGCTGAAAAAAAGTGAAGCTCCAAACTGCTTGCAGGGCAAAGCAGTTCAGCAGAAGTAACTCAAGTAACTGCAGAACAGGATTCAAAAAGCTGCAGTGTTAAAAACAAGGCGAGTGTTTGGTGGTGTGTGTTACACCTTGCTCTTAATACACATACAAACTTCATATTCAAAATGTACCACCCTGAAGCATGACTTTAAATACATTAACTCCCTCTTTTTCCTAAGATATAGTTGCCCATGACTGCTAAAATTTGTACAGAACAACTTGGTTACAATTGCATTGATATTAATAGCAAATTTTAGTGTGTAAATCATGTATATGGCTGTAGCCAGAGTATTGAAAAAACACTGGATTGAAGCTAAAGGAGCTACTAAATTATGAATCACTATCTAATGAAAAAGTTAAAATTTTCAGCATCTTCCTTAAGGTTTAATTCACAGGGAGAGATTAGACAGAAAAAATTACCCTTGAAGTAAAACTTTATAAGCTATTCATCATTTATGAACCTGTCAGAAAGTCATAATTCACTGGAGAAATGAAGAGAGCTGCTAATTGCACTTACTCTAGTATGTGTAGTTTACATACAAAACAAATCCAGCATTAGGAGTATAACCTGTCTGGACTGAAGCAGAATGTTAGTGTCTTGGATTCAAGCTGGGATTCTAACACAGCAAACAAGCTTGCTGCTTGTCTGCCTTGTACATTCCAGTCTGGGTTTTTTTGTTTTTTTGGTTTTTTTTTAATTAATGAAGCACATACAGTCTAGGACAACTTAAACAGCTTGCTACCTTTAAACAGCTTGCTGCCTCTGTCAACATATAACTGGCAACTGCTACCTCAAATACTGCAAGATATGGGGTTGGAGGAGTGTAAATTACAACAAAAGCCAGCAGGTAAATTTTAATGAAAAAAAAGCCACATTTTTTTCAGAGTATCTTTGTGCTTCACTCAGTTTTCTGTTATTACAAAGCTGACTCCTCCATGCAGCAGGAAAGAATGGCCAATATGTTAAGAAACCATTTCACAAAACCTCCTTCTTTATCATATGGTAAAATTAATGAACACTAAGTCTCTTTTTAAGGGACTGAGAGTGAAAAGCTGGAAAAGAAAAAAAATTAGTCTGTACATAAATTGTTGCCAGACATGAAAGAAGATAAAGAAAAGAACTTTAAATATAATTTCATAATAGACATTCCAGAAATTATTTCCACTGAAAAATATAGTATATTGCTAATAAATAAGAGAAGATAAAGAACTGGTATAATCTGATCGATTTTTAAGTCAAAAGTGTCACTATCCAATTTCTCTAGGAATAAGCTATTGCTGGAAAAGATGTATTCAGAATAGTCATGTGCAGCAGGATTAGTTCTGTCAGCTAGAGGGAAGTCATCTGAACTTAGAAGTCAGTGTACATATTTTAATAAGGTTTTTGAAACCCCTCATCAACATGGTTTGCACATGCAGTCTTCTCATCAGTC